AACGTGAATAAGGGGTAACGATTTCGCCTATGTCTGATGGTTTCGATTCTGGATTTGGGATTTATAAATTTCGATGTTTATGTTTGGTTTTTGGGTTTGATATTCAAAATCTGGGTTTCATTTCATGTTTCTTCCTTCTTCTGCGAGTTAGATGATTACTCATGTCTAATTTAATTATGCGACTTCTTTTTAATATTCATTTAATTTAATTCATGAATTTGATGACTTCTGTGACTTTTTTTTTCATTTTTATATATTTAATTTAATTTATGAATTTAAAATTTGATTAAAAACTAATTAAAATTACGCACACTTTAAAATAAGTTACCGGAGTTACTGTTCCATCACGGTCCGTTACTTTTCCGTCAGGTTTTTTGGCGGCGCGAAAAATTCTTTAAGTTTGGAGGTTTATTGTGCTAGTGAAATTAGGTTAGAAGTTTATTGTGCTAGTGAAAATCTCTCGAGGTTTAAAGTGTTACCTTTTTGATCCCTCGAGGTTTAAAATGCGATTTTCCCATTGTTCTTCTGCATTTTACATGACTTTTTAGTTTTGAAACTATCCAAACCAATAAAAACGTGGAAGTATTGAAAACAAATTTAAGTATACATTTCTCTCTCAATTTGAAAATTCGTTCCATTATAAAGATGGGATAAGATTTCTATATTTTTTTATCTGTTTGTACATTGATGATGCCACAAACGTACATAAATTTATTATCAAAATATATAGCATATATATGCATAGCTACATGTGAAAGAAGACTGGAATAGAAACGACCAAAACAATAGCTTTTGTCGGTCATACAAAAATAAAAAACACTATGAAATATACCTACACGAATATCAAAAATACAGGGAGAAACGAAAATAGTATGTTTCCCTAATAATTCTTACCAATTGAAGTTGAAAAGTACAAAAGACGAAGACAGTCGTCCTAACTATCCAACAGTTAGCATTCATATGGAGCTTTAAACACATGTTTCTCGTTTTTATTTTTTATTGTATGGTCCTAGTTTTAGTAGTAGTAATAATTGTTACAACTATTCATGTTGATATCGTACGATCTAGTGACAACCTATAGATAGATGTGCATATCCATAGTGAAAGCATCAGAGACAGTCAAAGAAACTCATGGGGCATTATCGTTGTTCGTCAATTCATATCAAAGAAGATAAAAGGATAAAAGCACCAGAAAAAGAAAAAAAAAAACTAGTCATTTTGTTTGTATATTGACTGAATAACTAGTATAGATTCAAAGCCGAAAATCAAACTAATTCTCAAAATCTTTTTTTTTAAATTTAGATATATTTCATCATTTAAAACGTCTACGTAGCCAAGCCACATCAATTTTTTTATTAATGGTAGAATTCGATTCTTGAGCCTAATCCACATAACGTGTCTTCTACTCACTCGCAAAAACTACCTACTACTCACGTTTCACCAAGCTTATTGACAAAGTTGTCCGCAATTGTTTACGCTTAATTTGTACCACTAGAGAGACTACGCAAGTCTCTAAGAGCATGATTAACGCGGGCTTTAGTTGGGTTTTTAGAGAAACTTAATAATTGTTTAATGATGCAGCGTCTCCAAAAAGCCCAATACATCTCCTGTTTGGCGACATTTTTAGTCGTTTCTATCTCTACGTGGCGGGCTTCTGTTGGTTAAAAAATAAAGAGATTGTTTTTTTTTTTATCTCCTCCTTCCTTGGATTTTTTTTTTATCTCCTCCTTCCTCCTTCCTTCCATTGCACACCTACAACACACAGTCTTTATAATAAGTTTTCAATTTAACTTTTTAATCAGAAACTAATTAAATAATGAGCTGGAGACCCTCATGGATCTCTCCTATTAAGGTTGCTCTAACCATGTGGTTTGTCTCAAGACCCATTCAATGAAGCATCCACTACAAAACTCTCGACACTTTAAGATTTAAATCAAGTTTTAAATTGTACTTTCTATTTTATTTTCGAAAAACTAAGCATTCATTGTAACAAATGTTTTTTTTTAGTTTGAATAAATTTTACATTCAATACTGTTCAAAAAACAAAAAATAAACAAAAACTTTTAAGATTATAATACAATTATTAAAACCATTTTAAGCAGCCAAATGAACTTCATCACCATTCAGAGTCGCTTTATTAAGAACATCTTGAGCGCATCTATTACTCTTTTTGTGTTTGATTTTTAATAATTATTGGTCATATTGAAAGTTAGTCGAAATTAGGTCAAAATATGAAGTGAAAAGAAAGAAAAGAAAGGTAGTGATACGAAAAGAAGCAAAGTTTGGAAGTTTGGGAAAGAGCAACACACACCTGACACTTGTGTCCAATCCATAGGAGCTTGCCACGTCATTCTTATTGTCTTTCGACTTGTGGACAACTCGGTTTTTAATTTCGCTTTAAAGATTTCAGATTTTTTTGGATATGCGATTTGACACAATCAGAACCGGTTCTTTTCGTTCGGTTCAGCTGAATTCTGATACGATTTTTTTGGTTCGGCTTCAATTTGGTTTTGGTAAAAAGTAACTGATTTAGGCTTGAACAAACATAAAATTATTGGATTACCAAGAATTTAGGCTATTTTTTCAAACTTCGGATAAAATTTGTAAATTGTAATATATATTGTGATTGTTGTAAAACATGTAAAGATTTCAACCGATATATTGAAAAATCAGTGGAGGCTTTATCATATTACGATGGGAAATGTGAACATTGTTTGGAATTGGATAAAAACAACAATAATGGAGTGAGGAAGAGAGGTAACATATATTTTTCGTCACAGGTGAACAGTTTTCTCAATAATATAAACACACAAATAAAATACATCAGAAAAAGAATATGATGATGATGAGGAAATGTGGATCTAATATACAATTTTAGATCTTATTGTTTTTTTTTTTCTTTTCAATATCCTTTTTTTCGCAGTAAGCCTCTCGATTATGGGAAAAGAGAAACCAATCAAATCAGCCTCAGTTATCTTTCACTCCACCAATGAGTTGCTTCTATCAAAGAAGAGTTGGTTTCCATTATCTCAATATCATATTTATAATCACATGTTGTGATATTGAGAGGTGACCAATATGTACATTGTTTTAGTTTCATATATATGATTTTTTTTTTGTTGTTGCTAGAATAGAAACACAGATGATATGATATGGTGCTTAATGACGGGATCTAACTTTTCTAAGTTAAAACATTAAAAAAATCATAGGATAAGATTACATAAAAAATGATTTTCATTTGTGTGGAAAACACAAACAAAGAACTACTAATATGACTTAAAACTTTAGTCATGTACGGAATTACGTGGAAATGCAGTGAATTAGTTTTATTTACATGATCCAATTTGCTAACAAGACTCAAGCACTCTTTTAGTCTTTAGAGATGTCTTATTATGTAAGCATAACTATTTTTAAGTTTCAAAATATAGTTACTAAAACAAACAGAAAAGTTGTTAAAAATAAATAAAGCAAAGGTGACACCTGAAAGCGATCTAAAGGGTGTAGAATTGCGATATTAAAGTGAGAACAAAAACTATAGCTTATTGGTTACCTTTTTGAGACAAAAGAATCTCTTACCCACCAACTCCAGATTTAAGGATCATGTTAATTGGTAAACATGTAATCTCGTAATTTTAAAATGATATCTTACGAGAAAAAGTTTGACGTCATTAGCTATAGAATTATCACTATCACATTTTGGATTAAGCGGGAAAAGTCATTACATTAACATATTATGAATTTTTTCTTTCTTTCTAAAACAGTTACATCTTTGTCTCTTCTGCTGGACCCAACCATCATAATACCAGAAATGACTTGAAGGAGATTAAGAGAGAAGAAGCTCTTTCTCTATCTCTCTCTCTGATCTCTCTCTCTTTTGTTAATTCTCTCTCTGTTCTGCTCTCTCTCTTTCCTATAAGACATTTGACATCCCAAAACCAAAAGACAAAAAGCTATCTATGTATGCTGTTCTGTTTCTTTTCTCAAATGTTGTCATCAGCAAAGCAAAAGATCAACCAGAGTGCTTTTTCAATTTCCTCATCATCATCCTCACTATCTCATTCACACTCACAAGCCAAGAACATGACTCAAGTCACCATGGAAGAAGTATGGAAAGAAATCAACCTTGCTTCGCTTCACCAACATCGCCAGCTAAACATTGATCATGAGCCAATGTTGAGGAACCAAAACCCTTATAACTCCATCTTCCAAGATTTTCTCAACATGCCTCTGAATCAACAACAACCACCACCTTCTACTTCTTCTTTTCCGCTTCCTCCTCCTGCAACTGTTCTCACCTTGAATCCTCACTCCATTCATACCCAATTTGAGGAATCTGCAAAGTTTGGTTGTTTTGGGAAGAAAAGAAGCCAAGATTCTGATGAAAGCAGAGGAGACAGAAGGCATAAGCGTATGATCAAGAACAGAGAATCTGCTGCTCGTTCCAGGGCTAGGAAACAGGAATGTGTCTCTCTCTTTGTCTCCTTCCTTTTTCAAATTTTATGTTAACGAAATGTAGTGTTAAGTATACAATTTCTCTGTAGTAAAATGGGTTTGTTGTATCTTTCAGGCATACACAAACGAGCTGGAGCTTGAAATTGCACATCTTCAGAAGGAGAATGCAAGACTCAAGAAACAAGAAGAGCAGGTAAAAACTAAGCTCATGCTATATCTCTTTAAGTCTAATTCTATCTTAAGAATCTTCATCAAGAAGTGACAAAGCAAATGACACTTAAAGGAGGACACTGTGAGTATAAAGATTCTGCTACTTAAAGTTCGAGTTATCTCCGGTTTATTATGTTTCTGTTTATGGAAAATGCAGTTGAAAATGGCGGAAGCAACACAACACCAAACAAAGAAAACACTTCAACGGTCTTGGACAGCTCCTTTTTGAGAAAAATCTATGTGTTTCTCATTGAGAAGAGAAACAGGGAAATATCTGTACATTTCTAGCTAAGGTAAATTTGTGGATGTAGTAATTTAGGGGAGTGTAGAAAAGTATCTAGAAAACAAAAAAAAAAAAGAAAGAAAGAAATGAACTTTCTTCTTCATTTTCTGTCGTTTTCCTATCAACCCTTTTGACTTATGTACTATTCTCTTCTGAGCCCTGTACTCTAGTGCAAAATATAAGGCTCTGTTTTCACTTTTCACTGTTTTGAACGCATTACTGCATACTGTAGTTCTTGGCTTAATATTGATTCTCTATCAATTACCTGATAAGGATAAAAGTCTTAATGATCATATCCGAGAAGTTCCCTGTGTATACTTTATTAACAACCAAAAATAGAGACAAAATAAACACCAAAGAGAAATTATAGTGGCGTCTAATGTTTACTGAAAGAGGGAAACACTGTAACTAATTATCTATGAGTATGCTTCATCTTCCTTTTTGGTAGAATCCAACATTTTTAAATTCTACCATTAAAGAAAATAGTTTGCTAAATAGAGTTTAATATACTCTTTTTCAAAATACTACTAATCACAACAACATAAATTACATTACAGATTATTGACCCATCATTGTCTTTCCCATCAAATGTACATTGTTTACAATGTTTTGTCATCTCTACATAATTTACATTAAATCTCGACGTCAACTTAAAGTATCCAAGATAAATGTTTTCTGTTCCGTGTTAGAAAAGCTTCATTCTTCCATGAACTGAGTTGATGGTGGACTCATATTTTTCTTCTTCTTCTTCTTCTTCTTCTTCTTCTGCTGCTGCTCTGTATCTGCTTCAATTCAGATACATGAATTCAAAAATCAGATATGTTCATCTATCTGTAAATGTATATATATTTACCGTAGGAAGCTCCACGAATCTCGACTTCTCTCACTTCTTGGACAAGGGCACAACAACAACACATTAGATGTGACAAAAAGTCGTCAATGGATCCTCCCTGTCATATGAATTGAAAACTTTAGCATCACGACCTTTAGCCCTAAAAAAGTATCCATGGCTGGAATTAACTGATGTGTACCTTTATGTTCAATGTTTTGCGAAGCTTCTGCCTTATGCAGCAAGTGTAGCAGCAGCATGAGAGTATCAAAGAATACACCATTAGCTCATTACAAGCTTCAGTTGAAGCTGGAAGAGCCAGAAAAATCGTATTTCTCTATCAGATTCTTGGAAGCTCATGTAATGAAGATTACGAATTAGTCTATACTCATATAAAGATATCTTACAAATGTGCCTGTTCTTTGCGACAGTGGAGATCTTTGACAATGTACCACACGGGAAAATAACTGTCTTCAAGCCTGCGTTTCAAACCTTCTATTATTCACAACTTAAAATTATAAAAAAAAAAACAGTGAATCTTGAAAGTGTAACAATGTTTTGTCCTCACATTAGAAACATAAGAGAATAGCTTACATAGAGAAGGTTCTGAGCAACAATCCAACAAGTCAGTGTGCCATTCTTCATGGTGTTGTGATGATCTTCCAGAAACTATATCATGTCGGGACGAATCATCTTTCTTAGAATTCTTCTTGCACAACTCTTCCACAGATTCAGGATCAACATCAGCAGCAGTTTCTGTAACACCAATCAAACGCTGTATGACTTCGCATTGATCCGTATCATAACGCGCACGCGAACGTTGCAGCTCGACCTGCAGTTTCCCATTCTCTGTTTTGAGCGCTTCGCAGAAACCCATTTCCGGGTAGGAACGAGAGAGCGTCTTCTTCAAGATCGACGCAGCAGCTTCTCTAGTTGATTCTTGTTTCAAGATAACATCTTGCACCTTCCTATCCTCTTCATCAAGTGTGTACTCACGCTGATCATGGTCAATAACTTCAAGCCTCTCCTACCATATTCCAAAATATCCAAATTCAATTAACCAAACCAATGGCAACAAGATAAAGATAATCATCAATGCAAACTAATTGCTTACTCGAATCCGAACGTTGTCTACCAAAGTGATGAGAGGAATGATCTTGAGATAACGATCGATCTCGTCCTGAGCTTTCCGAAACTGGTAAACAATGTTCCAGCCCATGGCTAACAAGTAGAGATAGCTCCGGTCTTGGCAACTATTGACGAGAATGTATGATCTTCTAAGAGCATCCTCGAGCCCTTCGAGCGGCTCTTGAATCCCAGGACACATCTTCATCTCAGAGACTTTAAGCTGCTCGAGCAGATTCCCAATTAGCTTGAGATGCTGAGCGAATTGGCGACAGTTTTTCTTGTGCATCCGAGCTGTGTTCGCGGCGGTCACTATCATTCCGATTAGTCTCACGGCGTCTACGCCTGTAAGCTGCGCCACCGAAGCAATTTCCCCTAATTGATCCCATGAATGAGCCATTTTCTTCTCTTTCTACCTCCTCCTATATGAGAGAAAAAGCTCAAAACCCTAGAAAATGTTGAGACCCAAACGAAACGAAAGCTTGTGTTACCTCTAATGAGCAGATTCCGAGTACCAATCACACTGAGATTTGAAGTTTTGTTCAATGAATCGCATCATGGTTCGAGATTTCTTCGACTGTGACAAAAACGAGAACAAAGTCTATGATGATTTTGAATTTCCCAGTCAAAGGAAATTCCCCAGGTCCGTTAAATACCTTCAACACAGAGAACATTTTCAAAAGTGACAGCTTTCTGTGTTAACAGTTAAAGTTTACGAAAGCGAAAGAGAGAATCAAAAGGAACAATTAAACTCATCGGAGAAAAGTCCTGCGCCGAGAGTCAAATCAAACAGAACAAAACATGATAAAATTTTAAAAATTAGTGAGAGAAAACAGAGTTGAAAATGCTCACCTCATCATACATTGATGCGATTAGGTCAAGATTCACAGAGATTATTCATATGGATAATTTCGTCGTCTTTCGAATATGGTGAGAGAGATTATCCAAAAACAAGAGATAAGAGAGGAGGAAGATGAAGAAGAAGAAGAAGAAGCTAAAGTGCTCACTGACTCTCATGAGCAATCCCAATTTCACTTGCCACGTAAGAATTGCACGAGTATTGGAATGACGGATTTAGCCATCTGTCACTCCTCATAATTACAAATCTACCACGTATTGTTTCGCCTCCCAGAGACCGTCAAAGTTGAAGCGGTGTAGAAAACAAACAAAATAAACGTGACAAAAATCTGTATATATGGGCCTATATAAAAAATTATATGGGCCTGTTTTCACTATTCCTGTTACCAAACACGCCTTTTGTTCGTTATAAGACTATCTCATTCTTCTATAAATAACGGAGCTATGGGGAATAATTGAGCAAAATTCTGGATCGGTGAGCTACGAAGCCTGGGAATTCTCGTGACAACTTCGCTCTTCTCTGATCTCGAATTCTTACCAAATCCTGTCCTCTTTCTTCGATTTGATTTCCCTATTTTATGGCGGGATAAGTAAAAACCCCCTACGTTTCTTCTGTAAATCCACTCGTCTAAACCAATCTAGGGTTTCGCGAGATCCATTGTACCTTTCGAAGATTCTTCAAAGTTCGTCTCTGAGCTTTATTTGTGTGATCGTGAGATGTCCCGTTGTTACCCGTTTCCACCACCTGGGTATGTACGGGATGAGTCTCTGATCGAATCGATCAAGGTTCGTTGAGCAATTAAAAGTCCATGGCTTTGGTTTTTTATTTTAATTTCCTGAGTTCATGTGATTTCTGAGTGCTCAGCTTCCTGGTCTAGGGTTGTTCAATTTTATGTAAAATATTGAAATTTGTTCGTCTTCAAAAAGAAAAAAAAAAGATGTAATTTGCAATGTAGATGAGAAACCCAAATCCTACTCAAACCATTTATACTAATGTGTCAAAAGACTCATAACATTGGAAATGGAAACAACCAAATCTTATTACAACTATCAAAGCTTGAAATTGATTCAATGGAGGTTCGTTTAAGTCTTTGAGATAACAATTTCAAGTAGATGAGTGGCCTTTGTAAACAACTATGGCCATTATCTCTCTTGCATCCTGTGAATTGTTTGTGTTTCTTTCTCTGCTTCTTTGTCCCTCCGGAGTTATACTAGATAAGCAAATTATGGACACTGATTTGGTTTATAAAACCCAGGGGGCAAAGGAGGAAGTTAAGAGAGAAAAAAAAGATAGAAAACACAAGAAGGAGAAAAAGAGGAAGGAGAGGGAAAACGAGGCGGATCGAAGCAAAAAGCACCGTCACAAGAAACGGCGCAAAGATGAAAAAACCACCGCCATTGCTAGTAGTAAGAAGGTTGATGATGATGATGGTCACCGCGGATTAATGAACAGCGAGGTTGCATCCTTGGAGAAGAGCTGTCTTACAGTGGACCTTGAGCTTCAAACGTCGTCTCAGAATTCTTGTGATAGCACTCTTCATAGCAATGAGAGACCGGACAAGAGTCAGACACAGAGTCAGCCTCCCCTTGATGGTAGGCATAACGACTCTGGTGAGTTTGTTTGTGTTTACTTGTTGTTGGGTCTGTTTGCTTCATGTGCGCACATGATGGTGACATTTCTTTCTTCAAATTGTTGCCATGGATTTGAAGAATCTGGCATACGTGTCTGGTTACCTGGAAAAGAGCAGAAAGATCCTGAGGCTGAGGTGATGATGATGACCAACGAGGATCAAAAACAGCTCCCTTCTTCTCTAAGTGAAGCTCCACGAGAGAAAAGAAAAGATCCAACGAAACTGAGCAAAGAGGAGAAAACAGGTCCCCTGAAAGATAACAGAAGAGTCAGTACGCTACTCGTTAGAGAGAAACCATCCTCTAGTCACCAAGAGACCAATGGACCTTCGAAGCTATGCAGAAAATGTTCTCCTTCCACGGCCTCGCGGTTCTTGAATCTCATCGAGAACTGGGCTCCTGATCGTGTTGAGAGCAAGCTCACTGACTCTGAAGATCAAGAATGGTGGTTGGTCATGAAGTTTGGCGCCAAAAGACATCATCCAGTTAGCAATCAGACAACCAGCAATGGAAGTGGTTCGATGGTGTGGCCAACTGCTCGATTTCTTCCAGAAGTCGAAGTACATGCATTGCCATTCACTGTCCCGTTCTGATTTCCTCAAAGCTTTTGGCTCAGAGAGTTGTTGACACGACCAACAAATTGTTTTCCTATGTATTTTTGTTTAGATAGCCTTAAAACTCGGAAATATATGTGTGATTCTTTGTAGATGCACTGTTATATATGTAGTAAATCAATATCAATTTTACATCAGAGATTCGAGTCCTTGCTCATACAAGTACATCTTAAATTGCTAACTTGTACTTGACTTGTAAATAGCTTGGAACAAAAAGAGAGCTCACGAAACGTACAGTTTGGTTTACGGTTTGGTTTACGGGTTGGTTTTATAAAACTAAACCAAGCAAATATATTTGTGCTTTGATTTGGTTTACAAAAAATTTCATTTGGTTTGATTTTAATCCAAAAAAAAAAAGTCAAAATAAAATCGATTTCAGTTCGGATTTGGTGTTGGCTTTTGGTTTTCCGATTAATGAAATGGAAACCAATGGATGGATTTATTAACAAATTTTGGCTCGATTTGGTGTAGTTTGGTTTGGTGTTTTTTTTTTTCCCAAGCCTTAGCATATTATTGTAGATTATGGACCGTTAGATCTAAGCTGAATCAGAGCATCGGACGGTGTAGAGTGAGGACACGTGTAAAGCAGGAAATAATTTCCCATCCAAAGACTTCATTAAGGTCGTTTTTTGACAAATGAGAAAAAACCTGAAAACCCAGAGATCGAGATTTAGAGAAGATGATCGCAGACGGAGCAGAAGATGAAGAGAAATGGCTCGCCGCCGGTGCAGCAGCTTTCAAGCAGAACGCATTCTACATGCAACGCGCTATTGTAATTCTGCTCTCTACTCTCTTCCCTTACCGAGAAAATTCGTTTCTTCAATATTGTGGGAAATTGAGAAATTTCTAAATCCGTTTGGCGCTTGTAATTCCATGGGATGGATGTGTGGAAATTGGAGGAAAACCCTAATTTTTGATTCTGGAAAAACTTGTGCTGTCTTGGTTGATTAGGACTCGAATAATCTGAAGGATGCTCTCAAGTATTCGGCTCAGATGCTCAGCGAGTTGCGAACTTCGAAGCTTTCACCTCACAAGTACTATGACCTCTGTGAGTTGTTCCGCCTGTTCTGATCTGACATGATCGCCGGCTCTTTTATTTTTTTAAAATGATTATAAGTTTTGCTAAATCCCTAAATTTTAACTTAAATAGGGATTTTGTGATTTGATTTGATGGTTCTAGATATGCGAGCTTTTGATGAGTTGAGGAAACTTGAAATTTTCTTCACGGAAGAGACTCGGCGTGGCTGCTCAGTCATTGAACTCTATGAGCTTGTTCAGCATGCTGGTAACATATTACCACGTTTGTAAGTGACGGATACAATCCCCTTCTGTTCTCTTCCTATGTTTTTGTGGTCATTTTAGTCCAAATTCATATATTCTCAAAGATGTGTTTATTTGATCACTATTTAATGTTGCTAGCATTTCCTTGGATATTACTTTGTTCCCTTTTCTAGCTAAAATACTATTTGTTCATTTTTTGTTTTCCCTTTTCCTAGATATCTCCTATGTACAGCAGGATCCGTTTATATCAAAACCAAGGAAGCTCCTGCCAAGGAAATTCTTAAAGATCTTGTTGAGATGTGCCGTGGGATTCAGCATCCTCTACGTGGTCTCTTCTTGAGAAGTTACCTTGCGCAAATTAGTCGAGATAAATTACCTGACATTGGTTCTGAGTATGAAGGGTAAGCCCTTTAGACACTGCCTGTTTGATTTGTATCTTCCTAGCATCTGGGACTCGCATGGGCTTGTTTTATCTTGTTAGACAATGATCCCTAGTTTATTTTGACATAATTTAGGATGTTGGCTGTCTACTGGGTCATTAGCCCGATATTTATTAGTTTCATGATCCATATCTATTATGGTCAAGAAACTTTTGTTACTGACATACGGAAATCTAGATTCGTATAGTTTGGTAACTCGTTTCCTACTCTCTGCAGAGATGCTGATACAGTCACAGATGCTGTGGAGTTTGTACTACTGAACTTTACTGAGATGAATAAACTCTGGGTCAGAATGCAACACCAGGTGGGTCATGATTCGAGAATGTTTTATACCCTTGTACTCATTTTGGAAACGAGCTTGCCAGAATGATTGCGCATCATGGAGATATAAATGTACTATGAGGGCATGATTCTGATCACGCAGGTGTTTTATTGCTTGTGAATCATTACCCTTTGATGATCCTGAGTTGAGGCTTGCTATCGGGCTTTCTGGTCTGCAGGGACCTGCTCGAGAAAAGGAGAGACGGGAGAAAGAGAGGAGCGAGCTTCGTGACCTTGTAATATGACTTTCTTACAGCTGGTAACAGTGTACTGAAAGTGCCTACCATTCATTTTGTACTGATCGAAGCGTGCGTTCCTCACGTATCAGGTTGGAAAGAACCTTCATGTGCTGAGTCAGCTAGAAGGTGTGGACCTTGATATGTACAGAGATACAGTTCTCCCTAGAGTCTTAGAGCAGGTAGAATATTTTATCCAATATACGCAGACGCATATGAAAACTTAACTTATTCCTTGACCAAGAGCTGATTTTTGTCTGATGATTTCTCAGATAGTAAACTGCAGAGATGCGATTGCCCAATATTACCTAATGGACTGTATCATTCAAGTTTTTCCTGACGATTATCACTTGCAGACTCTTGATGTACTTCTTGGGGCATGTCCACAACTTCAGGTAGGCTGAGTAGCCCCTCTAGTTAGCATTATGCTCTGTTCCCATTATCTAATTTGGTTGTATTAGACAAGAAGTTGTGGATGTTCCTTCCCTATGGATTAGTATCTACTGTACTTTCTGATATTTTGGTGTTAGTAGGTCACTAATCTCCTGTATTTCTCACTTTCCCTCTGGTTTTTTTCTCAGCCATCAGTTGACATAATGACAGTGCTTTCACGTTTAATGGAGAGGCTTTCAAGTTATGCTGCTTTAAATGCTGAAGTACTACCCTATTTCCTGCAAGTGGAGGCTTTCTCAAAGTTGAACAATGCTATTGGAAAGGTAAAATTTATGTTTAGGCCGTGATAACTTGCTGGGTATATGAAGTGGCAGTTTGGTTTATGTAAAATAGGAGGAAAGTAATGCTAGCTTAGAAATCCTGTTGACCTGGCTTGTTAGCGCCACGAAAGACATGAAGAAGGCGCACGTATTTTGTTGCTTGATATTTCTTTCTTAATCAGATCTCATCACGCTAGAAAATTCCGTTAGAATGTAGAAACTTCTTATTTTGCTGGATGTATTCGCTGCAAGACATTACCCTTACTTCATATTTCTCTTACTTAAACTATGTGGTTTTGATGTCTTATTCCTTCGATGGAAAACATTTCTTAGTGAGAACACTATGATGTTACAGGTGATAGAAGCACAAGAAGACATGCCAATTCTGAGTGCAGTAACCCTATATTCCTCGCTTCTCAAGTTTACACTCCATGTTCACCCTGATCGGCTTGATTATGCGGACCAAGTGTTGGTAAGTTTTCTTTTAGTGATTGTATTTACCTATTGTTCTCATCTTAAGCTAAGGTTATATACTTCTTATTTTGTCAGTGGTGCTTAATGGTCCTCTGGATTTCAATATTTTGATAAACTTGTCTTTCTATTCACATGGCTGAGATATTGATAAATTCATGATAGCTGTGTCGTAGGATTCCAATCTTTATTTAAAAGAAAAAAACCCAGTTTTTTTGTTTGTTTATTCACTGCTAGTGTTGGTTCCGCTTCCGCATTTTTTGTATTATAATTATATGGATGTGCTTTATATACAAGTTTATGGTGGGTTGCTTTTACAGAAAATGTCATATTATTTATCTTGTACTAATGTTTTGTTGGAATAAGGTATAGATGAAAGAGTGTGAATTTAATGCTCTCCACTTTCTCTGCCCAGGGATCATGTATTAAGCAACTGTCCGGAAAAAGAAAGATTGATGACTCCCGTGCAACAAAGGAGATTGTCACTCTTTTAAGTGCTCCCCTAGAGAAGTATAATGATGTTGTCACCGCCCTTAAACTAACAAACTATCCCCTTGTATTGGAATACCTTGATAGTGAGACAAAGAGAGTAATGGCTACTGTTATAATTCGAAGCATTATGAAAAACAATACTCTTATTGCTACAGCAGAAAAGGTAGGATACCTTCGCTCCCTTGCCTTTTGGGTTGAACCATTTGTGTGGTAAAATTAAATTTCTTTGTTTTGTGTTATTTTGGTAGGTTGAAGCACTGCTTGAACTGATCAGTGGACTTATCAACGATCTGGATGAGCCGCAAGGTCTTGAGGTTGTTATAAGCATCTAGTGATACTTTCTATCTTGTGCTTCGAGATTCTCTAAATTACTTGTGAATTACAAAAAAATGGAGTCAAAACCCCAAAAATAAGTTGAATTTTAACTTCGGTACATATTTGCTATGCTTTCAGGTTGATGAAGATGATTTTGAGGAGGAGCAGAATTCTGTTGCGCGTCTCATTCACATGTTATATAATGATGACCCGGAAGAGATGTTTAAGGTGCATGAAGCTCTTGCACATTCGTCATCTCTTTTTTTTTTTTTTTTCGTTAAGTCTATTGCATTCATTCCCATTTCCCTCTATTCATTGAATTTCAGATAATCAGCATCCTGAAGAATCATATCCTGACAGGAGGGCCAAAGCGCTTAAAGTTCACGGTTCCTCCGCTTGTAGTTTCTGCGCTAAAGGTTTAATTTCTTAATCGAACTTATTCAAAATGCATAGAGTTAAGTAATGTGATGCCAACCATCAAACCATTCTCTCCATCCTCATGATCTTGTATAGTTTGTGATAATTTTCTTTCTAAACATATAATTTTCCTAAACATATAATTTTGTTATCTATCTTGTTTTGAATTGTAGCTAATCAGGCGACTGCCAGTGGAAGGAGACAATCCTTTTGGAAAAGAGGCTTCGGTTTCTGCTACTAAAATCTTCCAATTTCTAAATGAGGTAAGTTTTCATATTTTTCCACTTGTCTAAAGTGTTCAATTCTGCTGTTCTAGGTAGAATAGTGTCTTCCATTGCTACATTGTTTTCGTTAAACTTGGCCAAATTTAGTTCGTGCGAGCTGATTGAGGACATTGAAAATTCTCAGCGGACCGGTTTTATAGATTTAGCAAAGGAACCATTGTTATTACTCCGACTCCGTTTCAGTCTTCAGTTCGTGTCTTTATCTCTTGCAGATCATCGAAGCACTACCTAATGTTCCATCACCTGACTTGGCATTCCGGTTGTACTTACAATGTGCCGAGGTAGATAAATTACTCTTTGTACATAATATTATGCAACTGACAACAGTAAAAGTTCTCATCGATTTTTCCTATTTCATCAGGCGGCGAATAAGTGTGATGAAGAGCCAATTGCATATGAATTTTTCACACAGGCATACATCTTATACGAAGAAGAAATTTCGGTTAGTTATATCATCGTGGACGACAATGTGTTACCACCGTTTTTTCATGTTTGGTATCTAAATCAAAATAATTGGGCAAGTTTAGTCTTTCTCATGCTTCAAACACTTGTTTTTAACAGGACTCAAAGGCCCAAGTGACCGCTTTACAACTTATAATTGGAACTCTGCAAAGGATGCACGTATTTGGTGTTGAGAATAGAGATACTTTGACACATAAGGCCATGGGGGTATTTCCTCATGATACGTTAGCTTGTCTTTCATATATTCAGTTGGCTCTGCTTTAAGGCTGATAAGGGCAAAAATACTTATTCTTTTGCAGTATTCAGCGAAACTTCTAAAGAAACCTGAACAATGTCGAGCTGTTTATGGATGTTCTCATCTTTTCTGGCTCGAAGGTCATGAGGCAATACAAGACGGAGAAAGGTATATATTTCGCTTATGCAATAGACCATAGTGCGTGTTTTAACTTACCGGCTCATCATATCTTATGACTTGAAAATATTAGGGTTCTGCGTTGTCTGAAACGAGCGCTTAAAATTGCAAATTCGGCTCAACAGATGACCAGCGCAGCTCGGGGTAGTACAGGATCTGTTACCCTCTTCATCGAGATCTTAAACAAGTAAACGTTTGTTTTACATTTCATTTTCTCATCCCTAGCAAGCAGCATCCTTGGCGTATAAGGTTTAATGTGTAATGTGAAATTTCGCAGGTACCTCTATTTCTACGAGAAAGGGATTCCTCAGATAACAGTTGGAACAGTCGAGAGCTTGATCCAACTGATCAAGAACGAAGAATCGATGACGTCTGAGCCATCTGCTGAATCGTTCTTTGCAAGTACGCTTCGATTCATGGAGTTCCAAAAGGAGAAAGGTGGTGCCATTGGTGACAGATACGAGGAGATCAAAGTATAGAATCTCATTGGTAAAAAGAAAGAGGTAACAGTATGTTGAAAGCTTTGGTTGGGTCGTTTGAGAATCAGGAAGAGACTTGTGTAGTTGTGTCTGTGTGTGTGTTGATTGCTGCTCGAAATGTATAATCCGGTTTAGGTTTGGTTTATTCCTCGGGATTTTCAAGGCGGTTCACGCAGGTTTGTAACTTTTGGAGTTTGCTGTGTTTATACGAATCTTGATCAATGGTGCATAATCTGAGTTTAACATTGGATATTAGAATGAGATTCCTCATAAAAAAAATAATTGATTTCTGTTGAAAGAGTTTTTCATTTTTCACTATAACTGTTTGAACAAAATAGTATCAATATGACAAATATCTAATGAGTGCATGATGCAAAATTAAGAGCCCTCACGTCTCACGAGACTTTGTGAGACTTCAATTTATAGTCAAGACACTATATGTGTGTGAACTGTGAAGGCATGGTATATGAATGTTCTTGCAGAAAATGTGACATTCTTAATGTAAAAAATAAGAATAAAAAAATAATAATAACAAGAATGGTTTTGGTTCATAGTTTATTATCAAAGGAATTTCGCTTATAGAATTGTGATGGAATTTTTATACAATCCTCTAACATTTTACACATGAGAGTGGTAATTTTGCTGAAAAAAAAAAGACAGTGAAAACTGAAACTATAAGTGAATAATATAATAAATTTAAAAAAAAAAAAAAAGATGTATTTGTGAACAAAAAAAGAAACAAATTAACAGAAAAGTGAAACGAGAAAAATAAATAAAGAAGCAAAACAATCGGGAAGTTGATGGAGGAGATTGTTCCTTTTGTGAACGCTTCAATTGCATAAATTTCCGGCCATCACTTTTTACTTCCTCCTCTCTCTCTCTCTGTTTCTCTCTCGATACGATTGTTTCATTCTTCTTCTTCTTCTTCTTTGATCACCTTCTTCTCATCTCTCACATTCCCGATTTCGTTTAGGGTTTCCTGTTTTAACATTTCTAGGGTTTTTCTTGTTTGCTTTGTACCGGATATGGCGAATTGAAGCGGCAAAAACGGAGGAATTTTGTATTCTTTTGTTGTTGCTGTTTCCTCAGGTCTAGATCTGAGGTTATATTGAATTCGAACTTCGAGAGGGTTTTTTTATTTTCCTTTGCTCCAATTCTGGAGGCAATGAGCGCTTCGAGGTTCATAAAGTGCGTTACCGTTGGTGACGGAGCTGTCGGTAAAACCTGTTTGCTGATTTCATACACCAGCAACACTTTTCCTACGGTATAATCTTCCTCCTCCTTCACATTTCTCCCATTTTCAATCAAATCTCTTCTCTCTTAGATTGATTTATCTGATGGGTTATGTCAATTTGCAAAATGTCTTCTATCTGAATATGATTCATGTGCATTTTGATTTGTTTTGTTATCCTTCTCTGTTGAGTAATGTGATCCCAAAGCAAGAAACCTTCTGGGTTTGTAGCCATATTATATATGAATGGATTCATCATATCGATGAACAATTGAGCTTGTATCTCATTCAAATCTTGTTACTTTTTCTGTGGAACAGGATTACGTTCCGACTGTTTTCGATAACTTTAGCGCGAATGTGGTTGTTAACGGGAGCACTGTGAACCTAGGATTGTGGGATACTGCAGGTACTCTTGACAAAAATTCTCATCCTTTCGTGGATATTGCTTAGTAGAAGCTATGAGTCCTGTAACTTTTGTTTTTGTTGTGTTACAGGACAGGAGGATTATAACAGATTAAGACCGTTGAGTTACCGCGGTGCTGACGTTTTCATATTAGCGTTCTCTCTTATCAGTAAGGCTAGTTATGAGAATGTGTCCAAGAAGGTGCGTTCCTCCTATTTTTGCTATGAGTTTTGGAAATGAAAAACTGAATTAAGTGTTTTTGTTGTGATTTTGCTGTTTTATCTTCTGTTTGCAGTGGATTCCAGAGCTGAAACACTATGCTCCTGGTGTCCCAATAGTTCTTGTTGGAACCAAACTAGGTAAATTCCTTTTCTTGTATATGTCTGCTAATTCCCTTTTAGTCGTAATCCGATAAGATTAGCAATCCAGCTTTGACACTACCTTACATTCGTTGGTTCTGTTTCTGATTTGTTCACGTCCAATATGTGGTACCTTTTAGCTCTTTTGATCTAATGGATTTAGGGCTGGTTTTCGTAGTAATACAATTCTGCGATAATCTAGGTTTAAAAAGTCGTCTGCGGTGTTTCTTCTTTCTGTTTTAATAAATTTTTGAATACGTTATGGGTCAAATGGCTTCTCGTATCTCACACTTTCTCGTGATAGTTAGCCATATGCATGTAAGCAGCTATTCAATGTATAAATATAGCAATAATGAAACCTTTACGAAAGGCTTATACAAGATCTTCTTATTTCTCAATAATTATACGTATGCTTCACTTTCGGGTTCTGTCTGCTGCTTATGCTTTGTGTTCATAAAATGTGGCAGATCTTCGGGATGACAAACAGTTCTTCATTGACCACCCTGGTGCTGTACCTATTACCACTGCTCAGGTAAACTGAAATTTTTCTTTCATTCAATTTACTCCGCATGTTACTTAAAACAAAACTCTGTTAACAATTCCTCACTTCTCTGGCATCAAAGGGAGAGGAACTGAGGAAGCTAATTGGAGCTCCTGCATACATCGAGTGCAGTTCGAAATCACAGGAGGTAAGGAAAAGAAAAAAGAGAAAATTTCCTTATTAATGAGTATTACATGAGTTATTGAGTTTGCTCTTTTATTTCATAGCTTTCTTAGGTTGAAACTGTGTTTTGTTAATGCAATGCAGAACGTGAAGGCGGTGTTTGATGCAGCGATCAGAGTGGTCCTTCAACCACCAAAGCAGAAGAAAAAGAAGAGCAAAGCACAAAAGGCCTGCTCCATATTGTAATTTCGCTACGCTCCCTCGTACACTCTTCTCTTTCTCTCTGTCTCTTCCACTCTCTAGTAAGGCTTAAGAAGAAACACACACATTGGGCTTAAATATGCTTCCAGAGTTCGTTGTTATAAGCTAGCTCTCCTAATCCTAAAAACCGATTACTTCTTCTGTTTTACTGATAAATACTTTCCAGCTTTTGCTGAGAGCTCATATTGCACTACTATCTCTCTCTCGCTCTCCATTCTTCCTTCTATATCGTTCAAGAAACAAAAGTTAACTTAAAAACGATGCCGTTTCAAATATGTACATTGTAGATGTGCAAGTATGTCAACATCTGCAATATAACTGTTCATAGTGTATAATGCTTGTTACATGAGTGGACTCATGTTATCAACGTTAGCATCAAACAAATCTTTTTTCACATGCTCAAGATATTCATGAATCGTTTTGGTAGGAGAGGAGATTCGATCTTCAAATCTGTTTTCATCATGTACTACCATTCTATTTTATTTGTCAACGACTCAACATTAACGTACAATTATAATACTATTTAAGGTGTTTTCTTACTTAAGCTGTCAAAAACAGTTTAAAAAGCAATCACATTTCTGCATAATAACACCAATATATACCATAGTCGATACACATTTAATGGAAAAAAGCCCCTACATTTTTAAATAGCATTATATAAAACACATGATGATAACATAGAAGTTGGCCTATTAGCTCAGTTGGTTAGAGCGTCGTGCTAATAACGCGAAGGTCACAGGTTCGAAACCTGTATAGGCCATTTTGTATTTTACTCTTATTTTATTTGGTCTATAGACTACAAGTCTATATTGTACAACATGTCTTTCTCGCCCGTTAAAACAACATGCAGTGTCGGAACTTTGCTTAGAAACGGCAGAGTGGTAAACATCCACAAGGGATACTTCTGTGTATGTATCTTATTCAAGAAGAAGCATTTTTGGTGTCACAGTAAACAAAAAACTGACAAAGAAAAGAAAAAACTGGATTCTTTCCCCCCCAAAAAACCCCTGTCAAAAGATTTGATTCACATATATACAAAAATCCAAGATCCCGAACCTAAGAAAAGTTTTCTCTTGTTAGAATATCACCCGTTGCTTCAAGCAGAAAATGAAGCTAGGAGTGTTGATGATTTAGTAAGTGACAAAATGGTAGAGACCATAAGCTTTTGGTCAATAGGCTTAGTGAGATAAGCATCCATTCCTACCTCCAAGCACTTGGCTTCATCAGAAGACATTGCGTGAGCTGTCAATGCAACTATTGGAACGTGTAGCTCTGTTCCAATCTCTGCTCTTCTTATCGCCTTTGTTGCCTCATATCCATCCATTTTTGGCATCTGCATGAGCAAATGTTGATTAAATATGTGACGTCTTTACATGTCAAAACTGAGAATTGAAATGAAAAAAGTGAATTGTACCTGGCAGTCCATGAGGATCAAGTCATAAGGTGAGGAGTTTCGTAAACCATTCTGCGGATTTACAATGTCGTTCTTGGTGGTTTCTTCTTCTGACAATTTGTGTTCTTGTGTATTGAGCAGATCAACTGCTTGTTGTCCATCCGCAACTACAGTTACAGTTGCTCCGATTTTCTCAAGCATTTGGGTGGCTACTTTTTGAAGAACCGGTGTATCTTCTGCCAGTAAAATCCTTAAACCTTCAAGAGATTTCTGATTATTCCCATCCAAAGCAACTCCTGAATATAGCCGGTTACTTCGATCTTTCCAATCTTCTTCTTCTTGTTGTCTTTTCTGAGTCATGCTTGCAGATGTTGAGTCATCATTGCTTTTAGTGATGTCAATGAGGTAGTTCTTAAGCACTGGACTTGGTTTCACAGATTTATCTCCTTGTTTATCGCCAGATGTCTCAGAAGAATCATCGGAACTGAAAGTATCGAACTGTGTTGGATCGATTTCTAAACAATCGTGGGATTCATCACTTCCGCTTCCTCTGTTGCTTATGGCATTACACAAGCTTCTCTTCCGGTTTTTTATCACAGCTTCCAGAATCTGGATCATTTTGGCCTTGTACAACGGTTTGTTAACCATCATCACATGCCCTTTTCGTCTGAGCTCCGTTTTGACTGTATTGGAGGTGTCATGCTTCAGCAGCCAAGCAAACTTGGCTTTGCCGGAGAATCTGTCGAGGTAGTTTAGCTGTTCCTTCCATATATCCGTAGTGAGATCAAGAACTCCGATATCCACCACTATGACAAACACAGGGTTCTTGATTTCTTGTATATTCGAAAGCTCTGCTCTCAGTGAATCAGCAATGTTGTGCTGCGAGTCAAAGCTGTTCTCACGGCTTCCCGTCTCGAAGAGGTCTCGAACGATGTGAGTCAGCTCGTTCCAGTCCGATGCTTCAACAGTCGCAATGCCGTGTTTACGTAACCACTTTGATTGGATCATTCTTGCTGCACTTCCAGACATTGAAAGCAAAACCTGTAGCATTCAAAACCAATAACACATTGCTCACGAACGTAGAATCTTTATATCCATGATCCATTCATCTTGATTTCTTTCTCGGATGTGTATACGTACCACGAGACCGTACTTGGAGAAATCTGGCTGGCTAATTTGATCCGCATTGTCAGGAATACTCAGAATCAAGTATAGTCTCATTATAGTCCCTAAGCCATTCTTCTTTACTACTTTGATATCTCCACCCATCTTGTTTACCTGTAAAATTACAAAGTAGGTTTCAGATGATTTGATTGCTTCTATGACTTCTCAAATTCTAAAGTTCCAGTGACTTGACTAACCAAGTTTCGCACGATACATAGTCCAAGACCAGTTCCTCCGTGCCTGAAGAAATATAAGACCAGTGCGGTTTAAGATTCAGATAACAACATAGTTTTACTTGTACATTCACTGTGTGCACTTATTCATGATCACTTACGTCCGAGTGGTAGAAGGATCAGCTTGCTCAAAGCTCTCAAACACAGAGTCCCATTTGCTTGGATCTATTCCTGCAGAAAAATATTTATACAACAAAGTGAATTTTCAGAATCTGGGAGAGATCTCGAATGAAGTGGATAGCGAAGAAGGATATATTACCACATCCAGTGTCATCAACCTCAAACCAAAGAACCATTTTATTCTCGTTCTTACAAGACTTCTGCAAATGATTTCTGTGATGCACCAGTTTTGTCTTTATTGGAGCCCATGGTTTCCTTCTGTCAACAGTTAAGCTCATCTCATCATGTAGAGAATTCACGTTCTCGCACCATCCACGAAGAATAATGTGGCCCGCTGAAAAGTAACCATCTTTTTAAGATTAGCAATATATCTCTGTCATAGGAAAAAGAAGAAAAGATAGATGGTAACAAAAACTTACTTGTTGTAAACTTTATAGAATTGCTTATAAGATTTGCAAAGATTTGAACAAGTCTTGCCGAATCCCCTCGGACTAATGTTGGCATATCATCTGCGATAAGAGAAATATACATGAGAGTTCATAACATTTTACTGAACTTCGCCGTCTAAAATATGATACCGAGTCATACCAGAGAGATCTAGAACTGTTTCTACATTGTGGTTAATACATTGGACTGAGAACATGTCAACAAGTCCTTCAAGTTCTCTTCCCAAATCGAACTCAGCTTCTTCCAGAACAAGTTTCCCCGACTCAACCTATGACGCGGAAAATGAAGAAGTTAGAGGACAATTTGTAGCTGCTAGTGACATGAAACAGCTAGATGTAATATTAAAAGCTTGAAGATTTTCTTCATATATCAAAACAAACATAAGATTTTGTCTTCTAATTTCTGACCTTGCTCAAGTCCAGTATGTTGTTGAGAAGCCGGAGGAGAGCTGTAGAGCACTTCCTGATCTGAGTGACTGTTGCGTATTGTTCATTTGAAAGACAATCATCTGATATTAGAATATCTAGCAATCCAATCACAGCAGCCATAGGTGTCCTCAACTCATGGCTAGAATGCAAAAAACCTCATTTCAATATTTAGCATTAAGACGGCTAAACAATCTTGCAGAAAAAGATATCAGATGCAGTGATGGACCAACCTCATATTTGCCAAAAACTGGCTTTTGTAGTTGCTTGAAGCTTCAGCTCTTCTTCTTGCATCCAGTTGCCTTATCAGTTCTGCTCTTAGTTTCATCTCCTTTGAAACTCCATTTGTGAGGATTAAGATGCAGACACATCCAATAAAGAATATGCAGACAGAAGCAGAAATCAGTATAACCAAAGTCTTGAAGGCTCTTTCATCCACTTTTCCCATTATGAACTTCCTGGGAATTATGACAACACCTCTCTGCAAAATGCGTAAACCGGAAATTTAATAACTCGGCTCTGGGAATTTAAATCTACCTTAGACTATTGATAGGGAAAACTTACAATTGGAAGTCTCTTGAGATTAAGTAAGAATGAATCAACGTAATATTGTTGGTTACCAAGCTTTGCATTCTCCGCATGAATAACGTCAGAGCGGTTACCATAAGTTTTCTCTAGCCACCGAGCTCCTGTCCTTATAGCCCACTCCTCTGAATCAACGGCTTTCATTAGCTGAGGCCCCATTGATGTATACGTTAGAAGAGGACCATTTGTGGAAGTAGCAAGCAAGTATCCTTCTAGAGATGTCAAGTAAATATGTCCACCATGCACTTCTACAAGATCTCTCATCAACTGCCCGACGCTGTAAAGTGCAGTTGTCACCCCAACAACAGCCACAATACTCTTGTTTGAAGCATCAAAGACCGGCAAAGCCGCTGAGAGAAGCGGAGAGTCCATGTATTTGCTGACTGTCACATGCCAAGAAGCTTCACCATCAGGCACTTGCGAGATTCCTGCGATGTTGATGAGATCATCTGGAGGGATTTGAAGAGGCTTCCCTATTTTTACACCTGTTATTGGATCAAGCTGTTGCTGGTACCAAATGGCAGACATGTTCCCGTGTATCGTCTGATTGTTCCACCCATGCCCCAGCGACGTTTTCACATCTTCAAGGCCTGTTCCACTGATCGAATAGTTTTTTAGATCGGAGAAGATGTAGAATGTGCTGCTACTTGCTGGATCTCTGTGAAAAGCTTGGACAAATCCGTTTCTGTAGTTTATGGTTATGGCATTTAGAGCTTTAGCACTAGCAAACAGAGCCCATGTCACATCCTTCATTGCTTGATACATCTGACAAAAGTTAACAAAAATAATACTTTTAAGCATCTCAAGCCAAAAAAAAAAAAAACAGGACCACAAAGAAAAGAATGGGTAGCTAGAAATGAAACCTCAACAAGTTCTTCTTGAGTTGTTGGCTTGTCATATTTTTTGATGACATATTCAGAGAGCTTGACTTGAGCTGTTGTTAGCTCGGATGTGGTGTTTAAAACACTCCACATCCGTAAAACTGGACGCTGAAGAAGCTCGTATCGAAGACCATATGCTAAAGTTTGAAGCGATTGCTTTGTATAAACCCTCGTGAAATGCCATGTTAGAATGGTTAAAAGCCCAATCAGAATTGCTAGCATCACCTGCACACACAAACACACCTCTCAACTTTACAAAAAGCTTCCACCTTTCTCAATGGATTGGTTTTCAAATTTGATCATAAACTAAACATGCCAAATCAGAAAAACTTCAAAAAACAAGAAGAAGTGATCAAATCTAACCATTATAGCGAGACGAACAACAAAGACACTGTAGTAAGATGTCAAACAGTGATTACTTGCGTACTGAAACTGTTCCTGCTCGACATCTCCACGCAAAATCCTCGTCTCTCTTGGCATCTCTGACTTACTTCTCCAAGGGGTAACCCATTCAGTCATTTTATCGAACACCTTGCTCATCTTCTTCCTCGAATCCGTCGGAGAATCAGGAAGACTCTCAATACTCAATGAGAAGCTATCTCCTTTCATGTTGCTCACAAACGAAGACACATGTTGGGACTTTGTAGTTATATTGTTATTGGTGACTTTGGGTGCTTTGTTTAGTGGAAGCTAATGACTATACTGCTTCTTGTGTCATTCCCCACTTTTTTAATTAATACCCAACAAACAAAAAATGATATTTTAGTAGAAAAATCAGAAATTGCAAAGATTCGAATTTTAATTGAATAGAGTCTTCACTCATTCACAGAGAAGAAGACGAAGAGAGACTTGGAGAATACGAATGTTTCAGTTTTTATACAGAGAATAAACGGAAAAATGAAATCTTTCTTCTTTTCAACGAAATCAAAATAAACGAAAAAAGAAAGATTTGAAAAAAGTAGTTGCGATAGAGCTACGAATTTGGCCACTGGGAATGTTTAGAAGGTAGAATGGCCTCAGGTCCACTGAAAATACAGAGGTACGGAATTAAGAATTTTCCAAGTTTTATACTTTTTGATAATTTAAAGATGAAATAATAACGACAAAAAAAGATGAAATAATAAATAAATACGGGACCTAACTTTGAGTTTTTTTTTTTCAAAAAAGAATTCCTAGCTTTGAGTTGTCTCTCTCTCAGAAGGTTTCAAAGATTTGTGCCCTGTGATTTGTTTATGGTTTCGTCTTTTATTCACAGGATAACAAAGAGTATTTTTTTTATTGGGTAACTGGTCGACATTTTGTACGGTTATACAAAAATTAATTATTAAAATAAATATAAATAACATTGATTTAAGTGTTTCTTTGATTCCTAGATTTAATTTAAGAAAAAAAATTGAATGATATTGGAAAGATAATTGTTACCACATTATTATATACTAGGATGTAGTGACATAAGAATATCTACTAATCAAATATTAGTTGAAAAAAGTTTATAAAACAAAAAGATAAATCACAAATCGCTTTACGATGACACGTTCGCCAAGTTTCCTATTTTTCGTGAATTTTAGAAGTTTCTACTTTCTATCTCTAATTTCTCAAATAATATAAGCTTTGATATTAAATGGAAAAATATTCACTACTAAGTACTAACCTACTGTCTTTAGGCTTTAGGGGTGGACATTTGTTTTCGTTTCTTATTTATTAGTTTGGTTACGTTCACTTAAGTCGATTTTACTAATTAAAAATTAAACTTAAACTAGAGTTATTTCGGTTCAATTGATTGGATATGGTTTTAGGTCGGTTCGATTATAGTTATAATATTTTAAAACAATCCTATATACACTTAAAAATGATAGATAAAGATTTGCTAAGGTTAAACTGTATTCGGTTAACGAGAAAAAACTGTTAAACCGTCATTGTTTTTTTGAAACAAAGTAAAACAATATTTGTCATCATAGCACGGTGATGATTAATTTTGACTAAGTAGTAAGAATGAGCTTCATGATCAAGTAACAAATCTATAAAGCATATAGTCGGTGATAAATAACGACCCCTGATATATTTGGTAAAAAAGTAACAAATTTGTTGATATCTACTTTAATAAGTAAAGATGTATTTATGATTTTTTTTTGGTAAGGTATTATCATTTGCGATGTTTGATTTTTCTGTGTTGCATTGAAAATCAGTTTACAGTATTACCCTTATCTAATTTGGCTAACTCTTCTCAACATCTCAGCCAAATTTAAATCTGCAAGGTATATCGTTATACCAAAAAAAAACCATGGACAAGTTTGTAACAGTCATACCGATGTAGGGATTTTGGTCAGTTTGTCTTGGAATTTAACGTTATAGAAACCTAAATTGAAACCCCAGTTTTTTTTCATACAGGCTTTGAAATTTGACACTAATTTCATGTCAACAAAAAAAAATGTACATTGTATTTGTCTGTATTTGGATAAAATATATCTCATCATTTGAAGTATAAAATTATATATACTGAATTTTAATCAGAAAAATTTAAATATCATATAAATAGTAAATTGATAATTAATTAATTTACATGACAAAACAAATGTATGGCTTTTAGATATAATCAGAAAATAGAATTTCGTGTGTTATTTGTGTTTAAAGCAAGATTCAAATCTACCTTTAGCATAAAATCAATAACAAATGAGATCACAATCCAAAGAAAAAGATTTGAAAATCTAGAGAAAATCTCAAAAGGGGCTATTTGAAGACTTAAGGTGAATGCCTGTAATGATGTGTGTTTAAAAACGAAATGTGCATGCATGGTTAGTAGAATTTAAGCCTTTTGAATCTTCAAAGTTTCACACGCCTTCCATTAATTTTTTATATATATATACGGATGTGTATAGACATGATTTTATATAGCTTTTCTTTATCAACATTGTGTGTTCTTCGGTCATTAGTGGCTATGGAGACAAAGCCACAAAGGGCAAGTTGATCATAAATAATCAACCAGTGAGATATACAGCTCTTGGATAGTAATGCTCATATTAATTAGTTAGGTATTCGAATGATTTTATGTGCTAAACATTCTACTAAGTAGATAATACAAATGATAAAGAGATCTTTGCTACATAAGAGTTCTTATGGATGATTAATGACCATAAGAATTATTGAAGTATACTATGTATATAAATTTTTGAACCTTCACGCTTCATTGGCAAAAATCCGATCGCAGTATCATACCTCAATCAATAGAATTTATTCTGCTCGGTTTTCCGAACTTAATTCATCGCATCACCATAGTTGAATAAGTGTCTATAAGCAACATAATCCAACTCAGCTATATCCATCGCCTAGGCAAATTCATAACTAATAAAAGCACAACCATCTAGGCCTGAATTTTTCGGGAATCGGGACGGGAATTTACGGGTATGGGATGAGAATGGAAATTTCGGAAATTTAAATATATTATCCAAAATATTTTCACAAAATAACGGGAGGGAAATTTACGGGTATAAAACGGGAACGAGAAATGAAACATACTACCCATAGAAAAGGAACGGGAAAGAAATGGGAAAGGGATGGGAAAAAAATCAGATAATTAGATTAAAATCAATATTTATTAAAAAAATTATGATTTGTTAATAAATTGGAAAAAAATCATTATTTATTATTAAAAAATTTTCAATTAATCAAAATCTATAAAATTTCACTTTATATAATTACCTAACGGGAAATTCGGGTAATCTCATTCTTGTCCCTATCCTTTCACTTATCCATTCAAATATTATTTTCAAACCCGAATTGAAAATTATAATTTTCCTTTTCCGAAAAGTTCAGGAATTACGGGATGGGTGCGGGACGGGACAGCTTATCCTTCCCAAAAAATTCAGGCCTACAACCATCCAACATAAACGAGTGAATTTAAAACTGTGAGATATTGTCTCACGCAATGTGTAGAAGATGCATTATCTCGGATTAATGCCTAATTGAGCCATATCTTTCCCCGCAAGATACAACTATTCAACTAGGCGAGTAAATGGATTATTGTGGGCTATTATCCAAACAGTACGCAGGAGACGCATCATTTATCTATCTCAGACTAATACCTAGTATACCATATATTTCATATTTGTGTTATATTCCAAAGACTGTAGACTCTTTGTTAAAGTTTTTAACTATGTGTGACACAATTGACCAAATTCTCTATGATATTGCGATGTAAACTCAAACATATCTTAACAAACCAAACTCGTCCAAGCAAATCGAATGGTCTCTTCACTAAAAACGTCTTATTAGCAATACTCCTAATGGTAGATTCCAACAAAAGAAGAACAATGGAACGTGAATGCTTTTCTCAATAGGAAATTAAATTTATCCAAACCCATAAATAAATGAAAGGAGATGTCAGTTGTGGCGAAAGAGCTCGGACTATATATAGAATGCGTGTGGTAAAACAAAAGCTGAATTCCTCATTGTAAGTATGGTGATCCCTTTTTTTGAATTGAGCTGAAGCGGTTTTTACAACTATATCGGTGATCTTTACGAGATGAGACGAGGAAATTTGGCATTTCTCGATCATGTCTTCGCCCGTTTCAGATGATAGAAACTATTTGGAATGTTTAAATATTGACTTATCTATCAAGTTTTGACTTTAATTAAAAAAAAAAAAAAGTTTTGACTTTAATAGTTTTGCATCACATGGTTCCTCCCGTCTTCTACCTTATACATTCCTTATCAACCCGTCATAATATTTTGCAAAAGCATCTCATTTCAAAAGTAGCACTAGTCATATAAACCGTTCAATAACTTTTGTAAGTGCTTTAACTCTTTAACCAATCTTTTTTTTTTAAAGACTTTTGTAATTGCAGCTCTCATTTCCATAACCCATACAAATTCCATAATCACATGATCACATCCATGATCCATTGAGTTTAAACCAGTCGAACCTTTTAAATTTAGTCGGCCATGTCACAAATGCTAGTAATAAGACATTAACCTAAAGTTAGTTAGTTGGGTTGTTCCAAAAAACAAAAAAACGTAAAGTTAGTTGGAATGAGCTATGAATATACAGTTTTTTTTTTTTTTTGTAGTTAAGAAAAATCATATACATATTAGTGATTTACTATAGTATAACCATCATACTTTGTATTGCAATATGTATGTTTAATTTAATAGTTCACGTAAGTAAACACCACTATTTACTCAAGGGTTTTTCATTATACAATAATTGTTGGATTTTTTTGTTATTAAATACTTTTTAGTTCACTTATTACTGCTTACCAAATCCTTCATTATATAAATATTATCTTCTGCTCAATTGCTTGCATCACTACATCTTATATTTATTCATGGTAAGATAATCGTACATAATCCGTTTGAACGAAACAATTTTGAAAACATAAAATAATGAAAGAAGTCATAAACATAAAGCAGTAGCTCTACAACGATTTGTTTTATAAAAAAAACCCACACGAGAGAATCGGACAAGAAAATAATAAAGTAAAGATGCTGTAAGCATATATATCTCATATACAACTAGGTTTTTAAGATTTAAACTATAATATCATATAGTTTAATAAGAGGATAAGATTAAGTGGTATAAAGCACTTAGTAACGATTGGTGGTTTTTGACACTTAGAGGGCATTTGATTCGATCTTCTCTCAACTCTTTCATTCCCCTTTTGGTTCTACATTTCTATTTCATAGTTCATGTGGACATATACATAATATGTTTATAATCATTCTATTTTCTTAATTTTGTGACAGATTCTACAAATAGACCAGTGTCAATCTCTTAAGCTTCTTGAATCAAATACGAATATATTAAAGATTTCTGAATATTTATATATATATATATATATATATATATATATTAATTTTTAATTCTCTTACGCTCTAGATTTCATTATTTCCATATTTGGAAAACAGTTGTATATCAAAATATCAAATTATCAAGTTGAATCAAAAGATACTTATGACCTGTACTAGAGCATCCGGAAACTAAAACATCTAATAGCATATTAGCATCTATACGATTCTTTTGTTTTGCCCAGTGACTATCAGATTAAATCAATTTTCTTTCAGAACTGTTTGTAATTTTTATAAATAATTTTCTTCCAAAAAAATTGCTTAGTGCTTATTCTGTTTAAAGCTCAGACTCAACAAGAAATGCGAAGATCAAAAGTAATGAAACAGTTCTTCTCTCAGTAAACAATCATCAAAACTCTAATGGAAACATGAACCATTTCTTAAGCTTCTTGAAACAAATACGAATATATTTAAGATTTCTGAATATATATAATAGTTTAATTTTTAATTCTCTTACGCTCTAGATTTCATTATTTCCATATTTGGAAAACAGTTGTATATCAAAATATCAAATTATCAAGTTGAATTAAAAGATACTTATGACCTGTACTAGAGCATCTGGAAACTAAAACATCTAATAGCATCTATACGATTCTTTTGTTTTGTCATCTATTAAAAGAGAAGAGTGTTTTGTGTCCAAACAGAATTTTTATTTAGTTTTCTACTATTCTATTTTTGGGTAACGGTTGCCAAACAAAAATATTAATTTTTATTTAAATTTATCAAATAAGTTAATTTAGTATATTATTAATAAAATAATGTATTTTTATTTATATTTTAATATAAATCCGAAAATTTAGTTTTTAATTTAGATTTGTTATAGATTTCTTTAAATATAGATTATATTATCAAAAATTATAAAATAAGTTATTATTATATCTTTACAAAAATAATAACCCTGATATTAATTTAGATTTAATTTAAATATTCAATGACAGAAATGAAAATGATATATTATTGTATATTTTTATTAAATAAATCTAAAATTTAAATATTTAAACTTAATAAATATTTAGAAAATACAAATAGTGTGAAAAATATGTTAAATGTTTTAATAATTTCAATTTTTTTGGATTAATATAAATGAGCATGTTATAATAATGTTTTTTATTTTTGATACTTTACAGATAATATAAATGGATAGATGGGTAAGGATAATATTTTTCAAATCGCGATCATATATAATACTAGAAAGAATAAATTAATAGAAACAAATTATATTTAAACAATTTTTTATTATTTATTAAAAAATTATATATAAAAAAAATTAAAAAAATTATATTATATAAAAAATAGTTCCATGGATAGTATGGTACATTTGAAAAGCAAGAAATGACAAACTATTCTCAAACATAGACAGGGATCCACGATTAACGCTTAAATTAGCAGAAACGGAAAGCCTTTTATGGATTGAGACACAAAAATCGGTAACTGAAACGGAAATACACCATCCTCAATTGTCATCATACCCGACCTCCTTTAATAATGGATGGTGTTCGGTGGATGGGTCTTGGAAGGAGACGGATAAAAACTCAGGTATAGGATGGTATTATAGGAGCGAGGAATCCAACGAGACCATAATGGGGGCACAAAATTTACGACGCAACTTATCTCCTTTACATGAAGAAGTAGAGGCACTATTATGGGCAATGTTGTGCATGATTGAAAATCAACGAAGAGAAGTAGTTTTTGCAACGGACTGTTCTGATGTGGTGAAGATAGTGTCGGCACCAACGGAATGGCCAGCATTTGCACTACAATTGGGGGAAATCCAGAAATTCAGAGAGAAGTTCCTTTTTTTCAAACTGATACACATACCACGAGCGAAGAACACAAAGGCGGACGCATTGGCTCACAGCGCTAGAGTCTATCTAAGGAATGTGATTTATGTGAACTCATCTCCACCGGTTTGGTTAACACCTTCGGTTTAGGAGAAGAGGCTGTTGACAGAAAAAAAAAAAAAAAAAAAAAAATTAGTTCCGTGCGGACACATGAGGGTAAAATCTGGTATAGAGTTGAAAAGGAAAAAAAACGAAGAAAAAAAAACTCAATAATTGATTGAGAAAAAAATTGATTTATAAATTTGGAAGCCCACGATTGGCCCAGTGAGCCTCTACGTCTGATAAATATATGTTAATTCAAAGCCGGCTGAAAAGAATTGAGTTTTCGTTCGAAGCTTAGACCTAAAGATTCCAACAATGGCGAGAATATCAGATCTTCCACGGGATTTGATAGAGGAGGTGCTCTCTAGGGTTCCGTTGACATCTCTGAGAGCGATTCGATTTACTTGCAGAAAATGGAACGATTTAACCAACGAACGGAGCTTTACAGAGAAGCGAATCAGTGAAGCAGCAAAGAAGAAGCAAGCGAAGGAGTTTCAGGTGATCATGATAATGAAATCTAGGGTTTATCTAATGAGCATCAATCTCTATGGACTTGAAACCAACGTTGATCCATATTTAAACTTCAAAGGTGAACTTATCAGCCTAAACGATGCAAATCATCAAGTCGATATATCATCAGTCTTTCACTGCGATGGTTTACTCTTATGCATCACCAAAGACATAAGTTCTAGAAGGTGCTTGATGTGAGTCCTGACTGGAGTATAGATTTTGGTCACCGTGGCTTGTCTCTTACAGGCAATTTCTAGAAGAGATGAACTATTTCCTGATCTGTTTTGATTTTACAACAGAGAGATTTGGACCTAGACTGCCTCTGCCGTTTCACGCTTTTGGTTATGATCAAGTGACTCTCTCTGGTGTTGGAGAAGAAGAGCAGCTTTTGGTGTTATTTCAGCACTATTATACAATGAGGTTGCAGATTTGGGTTACGAGTAAGATTGAGCCTATAGATGTGTCTTGGAATAAGCTGTTCTTAGCGGTTGATTTGACGCTGCTCACTGGTTTCGAGTTTCTAACTGAAGATACGAGTTTCTTTATTGATCACAAGGAAAATGTTGCGGTGGTTTTTGATAAAGACTGTGAAATTGCTACCACTAGCAACATAGCTTACATCATTGGAAAGAATGGATGCTTCAAAGAAGTGGATCTTGGCGAATCTACATGCCCATTTTTGTGTTCTTATGTTCCAAGCTCAGTGCAAATCAAGCAGATATAAACTACTTAGTCTATTGACATAGCCTACTTGTTTTCTAATTCGTCATCCTAAAGATCGACCATTGTTATCACTACTAGTTATCTGGCTTACTCAACATGGCCTTTGCTTCTTTTTACTTTGTTCATCCTTGTAGATAGCGAATCAAAATACTGTATGTGATCTCGAGTTAGGCACTCACCAAACATTTCTTTGAAACAGTCAGATGTTTAGCCTCAGGTGGGGAGTTCGATCCCCACTAGCACCATATCTTTTCATGAAAAAAAAAGACCCAAAAAAGGAACGAATTTAAGTTTTTAACACATTCGTATGAACTCATTACATCACATCAAATGATCATCAGAGAAACACACACACACTTGACAACAACTAATCCACACCTGAATCAAAGACAATAGATGATACAAATAAACAAGATCAATGTGTTTCATCCAGGAACCTTTACTAAGCTTTCTTTTGTGAAGCTGCAGATCTAATGGCGGATTTCGCAAGCGTGGAAGGCTTGAGAACGCTCTTAGGGTTAATAGCCTTTCTGATTTTGAAAGCAGCCCATGCTGTCCCAAAAGCATGTCCTACTGCTTCAAGCCCTTCGTTTGTCGCCTCAGCCGCTTTACCACCATGCCTGCAATTCATATCAACACCAATTATCAACCTTTTCTCTTCAACACTACCATCTCCATATAACCGAGAGTTTCAGGTTCCGAATACTCAGAGTAACTTACTTGTGATCAACAAGTTCGGTTGCAACAATGGACGAGGTTGACATTACATTCCTTCCAGCTACTTCGAAAGCATCACAGACCTTATCTATCAAAACAAGAATAAACATTTCCAATGGTTATTAAATCTAAAGATAGCTTCATAAAGTAGGGATAAGAGTAATATAATGCAGATAGTGAACTTACTGAATCCATCAAGACTTGCAAGGACGATTTCTCCAGGAAGAAGGTTAAAGAATTTCTTTCCTACTTTGGTGTTTGCCACTGAACTTGTGAAGAAGCCAGAAACTTTGATTACTCCAGACAGAATGCCGTTTGCCACATTCTCTGTCATTTTGGTCATTCTCTTCACTCTACATAGGCAAAACAATCCAAAGAAATCAATACACATACAAATGTTCCGTTTTGAAATTCGAACATCAAAATTTGAACCAGCAAAAAAGGGAATCGTCAACAATACAAGTCATCATGATGTCCAAACAAGTTTTTAAAGTAGAAATCACATTCCACCTATTTCCTTGGTCAAGCATCTAAATTTGACCAGTAAGATGGAACCAACAATGGACTTATGTTCTACAATCTAAGGCAAGATTTTGCCAAACATTTTCCTAAGATAGTAAGCCACATTCCACCTACTTGGCTACTTAGCACAAACATTCCATCACACAGTTACAAGATAAACACAAAAATCAAAAACCTTTGAAGCAACATATGAAAACACTCAATTAAATCATGCAAGAGTGACTTCAAAACAAAACCACAATTTCAAGACGAACAAGAAATCATACATACATACCTCTGGATCCTTTTTAAGGTGTCAGGGTGAACATCCCTCTCCTTCTCGGCCTTACTCAACCTCCGTTTCATGAAATCGTTTCCCCACTTGAGCCGATCCATAGTCACATCTCCACACCAGAGAATCCCTTTGATCAGATGCCCTGAACCAGTTGCTATCAGCTTCGCAGTCTTGCTACTGTAATCCTCAACATTCGGAGCTAGAGTTGTCCAATACGCCGCACACTGCTTCTCCACAATCTCTTTCCTCTCCCCGGTAAGCTCCACCGGAGATGTCTCTCTCGCCACCGTCACATCCAAAACCTTTTCCCCTGTCTCCTTCGCCTCTTCCGACACTTGCTGCACCGTGAAACAGCTGTAATCCGCCAAGATCTGCTCAAGCTCCTCAAGCAAATGCTCTTGCCCTTTTGAAGCAATCGTGAGTCCGTAATTCAACATATCGTTCTCTTCTTCCTTCCCCTTCTCGCCTTCCTCTTCGTCGCTCGATTTAGTACCAAAATCCTTGGTGGGACGGAGCGTGAAGAAGTAATGAGACTCATCGACCTTGACGGAGTTCTCGTCCTTGGTCAACGGCCATTGAATCTCATCGGCGACACGCGCCAGAACAGCGACGACATTTCCGTCCTGAACGATACGGATGATCGCTAGATCTCCGCAAGCGAGCTCGACGCTGTAAGATTTGTCGATCAAGTGGAGAATCGCGCCGGGGATTGTCAATATCACTTCCTCCGCCGCTGCGGGAGGAGCCGAAACCGGAACAGGAGTCGTCTCCGGTTGTTCAGGGAAGAGATCACGGGCGAGATCGTTCATATCGAGCGAAGGATAGAGGTTACTAGTGGAAGAGGAAGAACTAGGGTTAAGAGGAGGGGCTTCGGGATTCGACATGTCAACAGTAGGGTAAAGAGACGAAGATTGCTTCTCGTTAGTGTTACCGGAAGATTCCATTATCGCCGGAGATTCAAATCGGAGAAGATAAAATGAAGAATGAAATATAATTTGGTTTGCGATGATGAGGAAGATATTTATTTGAAGAAGAAAGTGACCAAGTTAAGTATTTGTCAGAGATTTTAAGACGTGGAGGCTGCGCGTAAGCAACGCGTGTACCGGTCTAAACCGGTTCGGTTTAAAACTTAACCTTACCGACATCATTTCCCGCGCTGTTGCACGGTTAATTTTACTCATGTCGGTCCTGTTTTTTTTCTTCTTGGAAATCGCATAAACGCAAAGAAAAGAGCATCAAAATTTTCAAGAGGTCTTGAATACTGGAATTAACGATTTTAAGATGTGATTAACGAAATTTAATTTAACATAATTACTAAATTGAATTATAGCTCATCGTTTTTGAGTTCCTTTTGTTCAAATTTAACTGGAAATCTCTTCTCGATCCAAGCAATATAACCACCATCCATGTTTCTTACACTCTTGAATCCCTGTCACATGATCAAAGATTCCAAGTCAAATCTCATCACAAAACTTAGATAAATCAAGGAGAAAAAAAAAAAAAACAGAGGTTTTTGAGAGCTTAATTCTTTTGATGCTTACGGAAGAAACAAGATCGTTAGTAGCATATAAAGATCTAACTCCAGATTTGCATCCCTACAAAAAGAAGATTAAAAAAAAAAACAGATTCAGATTCAATGAACTAACTAAAAAAAAGGGAGATGACTCTGTTAAAACTGTTATTACCACAATGATACGATCGGATTGGTTAAAGAGACATGAAACATGTTTCAAGAAATTTGGATTATTTTCTTGACCCTGTGGAGTATAGAACCAGTAGGGGACATTGAAGACTTTCTCTGAATCAACATGGCCTTTCTCGAATTCTTCAACGGTTCTGTTTTCAAAAATACTTCTCATATTTCAGAAACTACCGGCAAAATCGAACAGCAATAAAGACATGTCTAAATCTGAAAATAAATTTTACCTGACATCGAGAAAAGTGTAGCCATAATGAAGAAGTTTGTGGACTTGGCTCACATCGATAGTAATGACTCCTGGTTCCAAGCTTGATGAAGTCGTGCGAGGAAAACGAAGAGAAACAAAGACAAGAAGAAGAAGAAGAAAGGATCTTGTAAAGTGGGCAAAAACCATTTGTGTTGCTGAATTAGTTTTTTTGTTTTTTCTGAGATTGAACAAGAATCAATTCAAAGTGAATTCCGGTGTCTATCCCGCCGTTGGATTCGAGTATTCTGTTTTCTTTTTCTTTTTGGCGTCAAGAGGTATGTATATGTGGTATATCCGCCGTTGGATTATCCGCCTGTTGTATTTTTTTTCATTTTTTTTTGTTGGCGGTCATTTTATGTTAATTACTTAATTGCTAGTGGTAGTTTGGCATTCTTTGCGATATAATATATATATATATATTAATTAGGATTAAGACATTTTGAAAAAGCTGTTTAGAGAAGTAGCATTTTAATTATAGTATAGTGCGTCCGTTTATGTACGGTACATAATTAAATAAGATGAGGAGTAAAACGGTTATTAATTATATCGAGAGTAACAAAAAACAAACAACAACAAAATAAGTGTCTTGAAACTTAAGAAAATAAAAATAAGTGATAACCAGTGCTATAATTCCATTGTAAAACAAAGTAATTTTAAAAATCAAGTACTATTAAAAACGAACATAAAGACTATATTGATCAGATTATTGGTCTAGTTCTTTACTTATGAATTATAATCACTATTTTTTGGTACTCAAAAACAACACTTGATTTGTAGCATTTTAATTACTATACATCTTCTTCATGAGCAGTAATTAAAGTGCTACTTGATGTTACTGCTGCTATTATATAGTAAGAATTAAAATGCTACTTCTTCATGAGCAGTAACATCTTCTTCATGAGCAGTGACACCAGTCACAATAGCAGGAGTAATAACCAGTGCTATTACGGACTATCTATTCTCTCACTCTCTTCATGCAACCATGGCTGCCTAAAACGCTTGTAAGATCTTAAATTTTTTTATCATACATATATTTTCTATTGTATTCATTATTGATTTCTTATCACTTTTAATCTTATTGATTGTTTTTCACTTATTTTCTCTAATGGTTGATAAATAAGTGATAGTGAAAAAACAATCAATAGGATTACTATCTTCTTAATGTACACTTACTTCCTGTGCATCTTGAGGAGAATGAAACTAAACATAGAATCAACCTCTGAAGGAGCCATCAGCCTTAAAAGGCATTAGTACTTCAACGTTTTCTAGAAAGAGAGCCGCTATATATTACAGAAATAAAAGTATTAAGATATGTGAGTTTTTATAGAAAAAGAAAGGTGGTGTTACTCACACTTGATGTTGCTCCACACTAGCTGCCAGATTACCCACAAAGATGCTTGATGCCTGAAAAGCAAATCAGAGCAATGAATATAATCAATACAGCCATGAGTTCAGCTACGAAAAATCGGATTCAACAAAGCCCAATTAGGTTTCAGTGAGGCTGAGTGTCCTTCAGTGACATTGTGACCAAAGTCTACACAGAACTATTATGCTTAATCACATGTCAAACAACTCAACCTTTTGTAGTACAGTCAATAATTCTTATGATCGAAACCACCTTAACTATGAAATGGCCAAAATGTTTTCAATCATTAGAGAAAATAAGTGAAAACAATCAAAAATTACTATTTTTCTTTACTATCGTTTTTGTTCTCAAACAGATTGAGAATCTTCACTTGTTTGGACGTGCGTTGATATTGCCTTACATAAATGCTGACAATTGTTTATGTTAAGAAAAAAAACACAAGTTTTTACAATTACAAAATTATTTGATAATTACAAAATTTGAGGGATTAATAACAAATGTGAATGAAACAATGAGCTTAACTAAAATTTGAGAGCTTAGCTAAGTATAATCAATACAACCATGAACTATAGAAAATCGGATTCCACAAACTTTAGTTAGGTTTTACTAGAATATAAAAAAGATTATTCAAAACAGCATTATACATGCTCAGAGTCGTTATGTTGCATAATCACAATGTTAAACAAAGTCATCTTTCACTGACATTATGACCAAAGTCGGCACTGAAATATTATGCTAAATCACAATGTTAAACAACTCAACATTCTGAAATACAATCAATAATTCCTCGGATTGGAACCACCTTAACTCTGGAATGGCCAATGTTTTCAATTACTAAAAAAAATAATAAGATTATTATATTTCGATGTAGTCATGTTTTCCCATAACTTGGCACCTGAATGTTTTTAATGGCGAATCTAGTCCAATTTTTAATATTTCCCACAACTTGAGCACCTAAAAATAATGGCGAATCTAATCTGATGTAGTCATGTTTTTTCCACTACCTGGGCACCTGAATGTCCAACACTCTATGCAAATAGGTACTGCACAAGAATCACTCTTGTAAAAGAGTCTCCTTCAGATTCAAAGCCCCACCATTAGAGATTAGGGAATCTCTTTCCATTTCCCCAAACCATAGACACCATACTTAGATCTACCAATATATGGTTGTCTTGTTATTTTCTTCCTACGACTTCGTCTACAAGACTGTAATCAACCAAGTGTGCCAATCTTTGGTAGTAAACGGGTCCAACAAAGAGGTATCCCCGTTTGACCGTCGTACATCCTCTCAAGTCGATACTCACACTTATCGAAGGAGAGTATTCTTCTGATGTTATCAACCTACAAAAACAATTTCAGTATTAGTCTAACTAACTATCAATTTATTGAGATCCAGTAACATAATTACTTATAAAACACAATCTTCACTACTCACTCTCCTCAGTTTTTTGTCTCCCTCTTGTTTGACTTTTCCATCTGAAATTGGTAGGGTGCGGCGTCTAAGATCTTACATAATTTCTTTAATTTTCAACATTAATCCTAGTGATAATTTTATAATTATCCCTTAATTTCCAATTAGACTCAATATGAATATACAAAAATCGAGGACATTTCAAATGGTCGTCGTCTTCAATGCAGGCATGTGAATGCAACACAAAATCAAAACCAAAACACATATATTCGCACGTTACTGTCTTACACACAGGTAGCCACAAAGCACACAACTATATAGCAATTGAAAAGAATTATCTAATTATAACTTTTCAAATATTAAATAGTTAGATACCTTTACCTCAAAACAAAAGTAAACATAAAATTAACAATTTCTAATTAATTGTTTATTTAAAATATGTATTTTTCTAATCAAATTAGGCCCAAAAAAAAAAAACTAATCAGAGATTCTCTTAACAAGACAATATAGACTACTCCTCTAACCAAAAAAAAAGGACTGCTCTAGAATGAGACACATTGCTTACCCGTGGATAAAGATGGCTGTGGGAAATGGTAGGATAATTGGTCACCCTTTGGCAGTCTGGTCTATTATTTTGGGTCTCAAGAACCCAGACAACAACTTAGTATTTCCCATGAGAACTACACTTGACAAACTGTGGCGGTATGGAGGATGGAGACTTCCACCTCCAATGTCAGGAAAACCAAGTCAATATCCAAATGTTTCTTCCTGCAATTGCATTGACATGACAGAAGAAGAAGACTCTGACCTTTGGAAGCCGGATGACTCCATTTTAGATTGAAAAGCTCCGCTCAGAACTGTAGATTGAAAAACGCCAAACATCAGTTGTAAAGAAGATGCAGAATATTGGTAAATGATATATGTAGCTTACGTAAGGAACAAGTTACACAAGGTCTTTTACTGAAACAGCCAAAAACAAAAAAAACTACTAGTATGCTTCTGTGAAATGCTGTTGGTTTTCATTCTCACTTATAAGATTGGGGAATGCTTCAAAATATCTCTTGGCTTGATCCACCTTGTTTGCCCCAGATACGGGTTCCACACCACCACGAGACTGGCGTTGTCCTTGGGGACGCATAACAATGAGCCTTTACAGTAAAAGACTTTAGATATCTCGACTTGATCGAGGACAGCTACCTGTTTTACTGTACATCAACCAAGCCACGGTCGCCCTTGTCTCTTGTCCTTGTCCTTGAAGAGATTGAATCTCAATGAACAAACATTGTAATCCATCGTCATCAACCTCACAAACTGCTGCCTTGATGCTGCTGCTTTACCCAAGATCCAATCTCTGGACAAAGAGTTCCATAGTTTGCAAGTAGATCTCACTTGTCTCAAAGTTGTTATCGGTATCCTACTTAGTATCTTCTCTAGCAATTCCGGTGGAAGATCGAGCAAAACCAAGTCCTTACATTTCTTCGAAGGATTCGGGGCGTAATGGCAGCAATTTGAGTTGCTTCCGCCTGAAAAATCCGAAACTCAAACAGACACTTACACATGAACTCTATCTTATTATTCTTAGACAAAGCATGCATGTAACTTATAAAGCCACATGTTAAATATTATTATGTACCTTCTCGTGTGATTTTCTCTTTTTTTGCGATTTTCCCTTGTGCACAGGAGCAATCACCACTTGGCTCTCAGAATCATCATGAGGTTCTCTCTCCCTCTTCTTCGACGCAACCACTGCTTCCATCTGAATTTTTTTGTAGATAAAAGGAGATCAGATGAAGAAGAATAAAGATGACCTAAGGACTACGGAGAAGAATATTACTTTTGGAGATGGATTTCTTGCGAGACTTGCCCATGAAGAATTCTTTGGAGAAAACAAACCCTAGACCGTTGCGGCGTCTACGGATGTATTTATCTTACATACGATCTCTTTTGATTTTCGTTTGGGCATGTAATTTATATTTATATATATATATATATGCATATTTCTATATTTATATTTGGTCACACAATAATTAGTACTATATTTTTTGGTCAAACTAATTAATACTATATTATGATGTTAAAAATATCTGTTTTATGTTTATATTTTGGCGGTAGAGGTATACGTGGCTTATCCGCCGTTGGATTCCCTACCTGTTCTGTATTTTGCTTTTTCCTTATTTGTGAGCTGAAAGCCTGAAAGAAACTTCTTTCCCAACTAAGATAAGAAAATTATGGTTTTTCGTCCAACTTTTTTTTTTCGTCAAACTTCTTCTTGTTAATTTCAAAACAAAGTAACTTCAAATTCAAGTTCCTAGTTAATACTTATGATCACCTTTTTGTTATTTAGAAACAACACTTCTATATATAAGTGTAAGTATATTCTTTGCAAAATAATCAGTTACATAGAAGAATGTTAATTTCCTAGTTAAACCGATCTTGTAATCTCCGAAATCTCCTAAACCTAATTACAAGCAAAGGCTAACAACTCCAACGGGGTTTGAGATCATTTTGATTAGCTCCTTTTGAATTAGTTATAAAAGAGTAATAAAAAGTTAATTAGCCCATGTAAAAAAATTTATGTTGATATCCCGCGTCCGCAACGATTTCTTTGAATTAATAAAATTATTGTAATATTTTATGAAAGAAAACAAAAAAAAACTCTCTTTCATGTTTCTCTTCTTCTAAATCTAGCTAGAGTTGCATAAATAATAATAATATATAAATCACATATATAGTATAAAATAAGAATGAACTAAAAGTCGGTGCCGTATTGATATCACCAAGTTCCACTCCCAACCCCTGAAACCGCAGCAGCAGCTAAAACGCCTAATGAAAACGCAACTGAAAATGTAGGTGACGCGGCTAGAGAAGCTGCGGCTGAAACGTTAAACGTGTCCGGTTGGGGATCCCTATATGCAGGGGCGGATGCACTCTCCTCACTGAAACAAACAAAAAAATTAAATAGCATAAGGAAAAGGTTAGAAATTAGAAACATTTGATTTGCTTTCTAAACAAAAACAAAAAAAGAAAACCAAAATATTACAAGAGTCGTGGTTGTATGGACAAAATGTATATCTTCTTTGATTTAAAAACAAATAAGGAAAACGGTTACAAAATCTACGAAAATTATTCAGAAACAACCAACAACAAAATTGAACTTTTGAATGGAATGCTAACCAAATTTCAATTTCCCAAATATATTAGTACCATTTAAATATTAGAAATTTCCTTCCTTATTTCGTAAATTAAATAACAAAATTGTACATACCTTTGAGGACAGAAAGTGATGAGGTAATCGGCGCCGGAGCAAGTGAAGGTGCTTGTGCCGTCGTCATAAGCATAACTATAAGCCGTAGGGCAAGCTTTCTTAAATAAACCAGAGTACTCACTCGGCTTACACGTGTCCGGCGTTCCAAACGCACCGCTACAGCAATACTCCGGCGTTCCAAACGCCTCGCAAGCGCTCTTACACGCCACAGCCACTCCTCCTTCGGCTTCTTCCACCGTTACTTTAAGCTGATCAGGACAAACACCGTTGAGATCCGCCGCGCAACCTGTGGCGGTGCAGTTACCTACTCCGGTGGCTCCGCCTTGAGGGACGATCGTCATCGGGACGTTGTAACCGTCGACAAGGCTAACGTCGTAGAAATCAAGATTCCCGGCGCCGTTGAGTGTGAACTCGGCGAGTGTAGCCGGAGGAATCGCTCCGGCGCCGGAGCATTCGATTTGAGACGAGCCACAATCGCCGGTGACGCAAGTGAATTTCCCGGTGGTGACGTTTTGGGTGCAGAGAGTTCGTGCCCATATGCGGCCGGACCAAGAGGCGGGTATGGAGATGAGTCGTGACTCGGAGGAGTTTAAGGAGAAACCGGTGGTGGGTAACGGAGCTGTACCGGCGCCGGAGAGAAGTCCCGGCCAGATAGTGTAGTTGCATTGGTTAACGACAGTGAAAGTGGTGGAGGAACCACCATTGATGAGATCATATAGAACAACTATAAGGATAAAGTAAAAGACTTTAGTGAAACCCATATTCGAGCAAGAGAGTCCCTGTGAGAATTGTATGATTAAGGAGAAGTAGGGATTATTATTTAGTTTATTATATATAAGAGAAGTTAGGATTATAAGCTAGATTTGTGTAAAGGAAAGTTTCATAAAATCATCAACCATTGCAGAACCCCTATACATTGTTCATTGATCTTCTTTTCCTTTATTTCAGCCTTCACATTGAAAATAGAAATTACGAATTAAATTAATTTTCCCGTTTTCTTTTTATTGACGTTTTGATAATTTATATGCTAAACTAGAATTTTTTTTAGAAGTTTAGAAGAGGAAAATTTTATTTATTTTGTTAAAAGGAAAAAAGTTTTTTGTATTTTTGCTTCTTGTTTTGAGACTGATAGGAAAGACTAATTAAAGAGACATGTATTAATGTAGGTTGAATAGTATGGGAAATATTTAGGATTCGATATAATAATAGGATATAAAAGGAGGCGTTGGGGTTTGGTCAACGACACTATAAGCTTTGTCTTTGGGTAATGTTAAAAGAGAGATCAAAGCACCAAATGAGTAATCAGCTCGTCTGAGTTCTACATTGTCGGCACTTGGTATGATCTCACCAGACCACTCACTTAACTAAGAGGACGTGTATAAAATTACAGTTAACTCGCAACACAACACGTAAATTAAAATCCGGTCTCTGTGTCTCAACTGTTTGCTTCAGGTGAAATTGGGTATAGATTAATTAGGGTATTGGTGATCTGATACAAATTTTGGTAAAAGATTTAGCAATATAGCCCGAAATCTAAATCCGTGCCTCTCCCAACAAGTGGTCGAGTTCCTCCAAGGAACGCCTTTGACCAAGGGGCTGTGGCACTTTCTTATAAGTTATTTGACAGAATGCCCCATTTTGGGAGATGGTGTATTTTCATATTATATAGATCAATGTTGTATAATTCAACATCTTAAAATTTAAATTCTAAACTCGAAAATTAAACACTAAATCCTAAAAACTAAGCTACAATCTCTAAAACTGAACAGTACTAAACACTAAAAACTAAAAGCTAAACTCTAATATAATCATAAACCAAACCCAAAAATTTAGAATTTTTTTTCGGCAAGCTAGATATTATTAATTAGAATGGGTTTACAAAGATGCAGTTTGGTGGATACAATTTTGAAGAATAGAATACAGAATTTAACAGTCCACGTTTTGCCAACAAAATGAGCTGGAGCATTATTCATTTTCTTTGTATGACGATTAAATGAACAAGCATCAAATTTTGTCTTCCAATGTAATATGTCGCCGCAAATATTATCTATCGAAAACTCTGAGGACTTATTATGAATAACGTCAATCAGAATTTACAATCTCCTTCAAAAACTAGATTACTTAATCATGTACTCTAAAGTTGTTGTACCACAATTAAAAAAGCTTTTGCCTCTACTTCCAATGATGAAGATGTTATACCAATAGAGGAAAAACCCCAAAAGCAATGAATTCCCTCATGGTCACGTACTATCCAGCCAGCAGTAGAAAGCTGGTTTACAGAAATAAAACTTGCATCAAAGATGTATTTAAACAATCTAGGAGATGGTCGATGCCATAAATCTTGGCGATTTTGTTGATCTATAGCTTCACTGTTGTGAACAAGGCTTCTGACTTGAATTACAGAAGTTGATTCATTTGCTTGAATTCCTTCATTTACATCAACATTTGCATAATGGATTACACGTTCTGCTCTCACTCTTTGTTTTTTGAAGATTAAATCACATCTGGATTTTCAAATTCGTCAAATTATCCAAAAAATTTGAAGTTTTTGGAAAGCTGATGGAGATTGAGAATTATAAAAATCAAGCAGACTTAAGAAATTATTCATCACAATAATCCCAAAAATTTAGATTTTAGAATTAACTCTTAATCCAAAATAGTTTTATTTGCAAACTTTATAAATACTATTTTGTTCTATGTGTTCTATATAGACTCTCACGGTACCTCTTAGTTACATATGAAATATCCTTTTTTTAGTACTTTCTGTTCGTTTTTAAAAATTTGACATATGCGAAAATATAACAACCTCAAATCAATATTTGTGAGGACTAAGGAGATCATCCAAATCAAATAAAATGAAAGCGGGAAAATATTATACAACAAAAAAAAAAACAAGAAAGAAAGAAAAGGGAGAATGAGAGAAGTTGATATAGCATGGGATAGTTATGGTGTATTCACAGCCATAAAAATTTTATGTTAGTATTTTAATTTGAGTTTTTTTAATGCTCATTGGACCTAATTCCCATAAAAATAAGCTTACAAAAACACATAAAGTTGAAAACAAAAATAAACTCAATAATTTATCAATCTTTTATTATAAAATGTTACCAAAGAAAAAGCTCCAAATCCAATATAACACTAGATAAAGAATGTCCGACCAATACTGTATTAAAAAAATACATATTCAAAATTATATATTTTTTAGATCTCAACATGCATGCATGATTAAATGATTTATTAGGCTGTGTATAAAATTGAAATCGGTTTGTTTACAAGATGGGTTTTAGGAACTTGTGTTTTGAAAGCTCACTGGATACGACCAAAAAAAAAGCCCACTGGATTTGTCTGTGTTCATCGCTAATTTTACTCTTCAAATTACTGTATATTCACAGTTGAAATAATTAGGGGAAAAGGTTTTAAGAGTTTTTCGAAGCTTCCATGGGATACGAGATATACGATTGGATATGTATCAATATTAGAGATAAGACCAAATCTATTTAGATAAGTTTTACATTCATGTATAAATAAATACTGTACGTTGTGAATAAACAATCTCCATGGAATTCACAATTATGTTTGATCCATCTATAAAGCTTAAAGCTAAACTTATTAGCTTAAACGATACAAAATCACCACGTCGACATACGTGAATTTTGTATACTGAAGAGTTTTTATTGAGATATGTTGAGATATTCTCAAATCCCATATCTTAGGAACGTATATTCGTATATATATCTTGTTGTACAAGTATTTCCTTTACATTAGATTTACTTTAGATTCTGTTCTCCTTTGTATAAATATCGATCCTTAGAGGTTAAGGGACATCAATACAGAAAGAAGTCAAAGAACATTCTTTAGCTTGATCGATTTTACACAACTTTATTATGATAGGAGACAGAGAGACGTGGTTTCTTAATCTGTTTCCGAGTTTACAAGATACAAACTTCCACATCATCAAGTTTTGGCGTTATTGTCAGGAATTACTTGCTTTGTTACCTTTGGATTTCTACAAAAAATCTTTGGCAACGATGCCAAAAACTTGTTGCTGTGGGGTTTGGAGATACAACATCAAAGTTTTGGCGTCATTGTCAGGGATTGCTTGCTTTGTTACCTTTGGATTTCTACAAAAAATCTTTGGCAACGGCGCCAAAAACTTGTTGCTGTGGGGTTTGGAGATACAACATCAAAGTTTGGGTTACTAGTAAAATTGAGCCTAGAGATCGTGGAACAAGTTGTTCTTAGTGGTTGATGTGACACCGCCACACTTGTTTCTGAGTTTCTTCATTGACCAGAAAAAATGTTTCGATGATACACTCTTGTGTGCTCTTATGCTCAAGTGCAAATCAAGCTGCAGGTAACCTGATTTTTAATGTAGTCTATTAACAAAGCCTTACTTGCTTACTTCTTCGTCATCTTCGGCTAATAGTCTAATATTGCGTGTTCAACACATGTATTGGATGTGCAGATTTGCTAATCACAAGTGCAATTTAAGTTACATATAACTAATGGAATGAGTTTAGATTTGTTTTCAAGTTGTTCAAGCAAAAACATCATGGTGTATCAAAACGCTGAGGTTGTTACTGTCTTAGTAAAGAAAGAGAAACCAAGAACAAGCGTAGGCACTACAAGATCTCACCTTGCCTCTCCTTTCTGTTCAGGGAGATTCTCCAAAAAACAAGAACCAAGGAATCTGAGCTAATCCTTTTCCACGGCTAAACTCTTCTTTACATCATTATTATCAATGGTGATCATCACATAATAACTGCTCACTGGATAAAAAGATCATCACATCACACAGATTGTACAGATAGACAAAAGAAAAAGCAATCACACATATCAATTATTCAAGTCTCAAACTTATATGGAATCAAGAAAAGCAGTGAATAGGCTTGCAAGAACCAGTCATCATCAGATCAACGGGAGCTAATGTCTTGGATGAGAGAACCGCCACAGGGACCAGTAACATTCGTCGCTTCCTTAGTCTTGCCGTCGCTTCCTCCCAGCGTCAGCGTGACGGCGTACTCAACAGCTTCACCATCAGTTAAGCTTCGGAAACCATCGGAGACCACGCCCTGGCTCCTCTGCTCCACTCCTTGCTCGACCGAATGGATGAGATGACCCGTCAAACCGACCAAAGGTTCGCCGAGCTCACGACAGGACGCGGAGCCCACGCAAACCAGCTGGAGAATCCTAGGTCCTCGGTTGAGCGAGACCTCGAGGAAGCTCATCGTTCAGAAGTGCTACTCTTGCAAAGAAACCTATTTGGCGACTCCCCAACCGATTCAGCAGGACCAAGTCGGAGATCCGCCCAGCTGGCAAATCACTCGGCTGAAATGTGCCCTCAGCATTCCAGCCCGGAAGCGTTCCGACAGATGGCCGCAGAGCGAGACCGCGACGCGAAGATCGAGGCCATCAAAGCAAAAATCCGCGAGATAAACTCCAAGGTCCATCGAGCCACGAGTTCGGCCTCCGAAATAGATCGTGTCTTGCAGGAGACGCAAAACACGCCATTCACGCACCGAATCGCCTCTACTCCTTTCCGCCACATCAGCAAAGTGAAACTCTCACCATACGCCGGAGATACCGATCCCACACAGTATCTAACGGCGTTCACCATCGCCATGGGACGAGCTCACTTCACGCCCGAAGAGCGCAAGGCCGGACACTGCCAACTCTTTGTGGAAAACTTGGTCGGTCCCGCCCTGACTTGGTTCTCCAGGCTGGAAACACACTCGATCGATAGCTTCAAGGCGCTCTCAACCGCCTTCCTCAAACATTATTCCATGTTCATCCAGCGTTCTGCCTCAACCGCCGATCTCTGGGCCTTGAGCCAGGGACTGAAAGAATCTCTCCGGTTGTTCATCGAGCGTTTCAAAGCGACGGCCTCCCGCGCCTCAGTATCGGACGAGTCCGCCATCCCAGCCCTGAGGAAGGCCCTCCACTTCGACTCGGCCTTCAAGGACGAACTAAAGCTCAATATGCCGCACACTCTGGAAGACGCATTACACCGCGCCAGGCTACATATCGAAGTCGAAGAGGAGAGGGCAAGTCTTAAGAAGCTCGCTTCCCAGAAAAACCCACCTCAAAAGGAAAAAGTTCAGGACGAATACCATGAATCCCGCCAGCACTACGACGAGGAATACCAGCGCAGGCAGGCCGCAACATTTCTCGTCAGCGACGCGCCGACCTCATGTCTCGTCGAAGAAGCTTCAGCTGTCTTCCATGTAGACAGCTCCCATTGCACAGTCGACACGCAGTACAACCAACCTGGGACGGTTGTACCCAACTCATTGCAGCAGTACTATCAACAGACTCTCCCATCAAACAAATGGTATCGAACCGTCGAGGCATCGCCCCCGGCCCAGGCCGTCCAAGAGCGAGCCGCCACGCCCGCTACCAGAGACAACCAGGCGTTCTGCGAATACCACCAGCTGAAGGGACACTCAACCGAGCAGTGCCGCAAACTTCAGGAAGCACTCCTCGCTCAGTACCAGAAGGGGGAAATTAGAGTCCCCGACCAGCAGCAGCCGCGCGGCCGAAGTCAAAATGATAACCGGCGTCGTCAAGACAACCGAGCTCAGCATGACAATCGCCGCTAGCGCTCTCCATCTCGCGAAGATAACAGAGTCTAGCCCGTACAACAACAACAACAACAACAGCAGGTCGAACCTCAGAGACAAGCATCCCCACCGCCGGCTCGGACAATGATCGGAATGATCATGGGCGGTCTCCTGTCCTGCAACGATTCGGTTCGCTCGATCAGTCCACGAGCGGAAGTCCACCCCGACAGAGATGTGGGTGGCCAAGATCAGAGCAACCAACGCTCAGGACACAAGCGGCAGGGGAATAACGTTCTCCGAGGAGGACGGTGAGGGTGTCGACCAGCCTTACAACGACCCCCTCGTAATCCAAATTCGCGTAGCCGACTGCGACGTGACTCGGGTGCTCGTCGATACAGGCAGCTCGGTAGATCTCATCTTCAAGGAAGCCCTCGAAAAGATGGATCTGCACGGTGTCGAGATGAAACCATCCCTCACTCCCCTGATCGGCTTCGCAGGAGATACTATCACGTCGATAGAGACAATCAAGCTGCCGGTCTACGTAGGTTGGGTAACAAAAATCATCAAATTCACCGTCGTCGACCGGCCAGCCATATACAACATCATCCTCGGAACCCCTTGGCTGCATTTGATGAAGGCGGTCACCTCGACCTACCACCAGTGCCTCAAGTTCCCTAATCAGGCAGGTACGTTCACAGTCCAGAGGGATCAAAGGGTCTCCCGTTCATGCTTCATTATCGAGCATAAGCTCCGCAACGCCGCCCGCACTCAACTCTGCGCAACAATATGCCGCAACAGAGTTCCTGCCTGCAACGTCGTCGGACCCGAACTCCCAAGGGAACCAAGCCAAGCGGATCCCCTCTCCGAGATCTCATCGTCCAAGTAAACATCGACCCCGACCACAACGACCGTTGCGTCGGCATCGGGGCCGACCTAGAAGAAAGCATCAAGACCGAGCTCGTCAAATTTCTCAAACAGAATGTCTCGAGCTTCGCTTGGTCAACCAGCGACATGCCCGGCATCAACCCGGCCATATGCAGCCACGAGCTTAATGTCGACCCGACCTTCCGGCCTATCAAGCAGAAGAGGCGAAAGTTAGGCGCTGAGCGCGCTCAAACCGTGAATGACGAGGTGGATAGATTAACAGCAACCGGGCAAATCAACGAGGTGAAGTATCCGGATTGGCTCGCAAACCCGGTCGTGGTCAAAAAAAAAAACGGCAAGTGGAGAGTCTGCGTGGACTTCACCGACCTCAACAAGGCCTGCCCGAAGGACTGCTTCCCCTTTCCAAGAATCGACCAGGTCGTCGAAGCAACATCGGGGAACGAGCTACTCTTATTCATGGACGCTTTCTCGGGCTACAACCAAATCTTCATGCACCCTGACGATAGGGAGAAAACAGTGTTCATCACGGACTGCGGAACGTACTGCAACAAGGTCATGCCATTTGGGCTCAAAAACGCCGGGGCCACCTATCAGCGCCTTATGAACAAGATGTTCGCCGACCAGTTCGGACGTACAATGGAGGTGTACATAGACGACATGCTCGTCAAATCTATTGTGGCAGGTGATCACGTCGGTCACCTAAAAACGTGTTTCAAAACTCTGAACGAGTACGGCATGAAGCTCAACCCCGGGAAGTGCACCTTCGGCGTCACCACGGAAGAACTTCTCGGCTATGTGGTCACGCAGCGCAGGATAGAGGCAAACCCGAAGTAAATCCAGGCCGTCCTCGAATTGCAGTCACCAAAAAGCAACCGCGAGGTCTAGCGCCTCACCGGAAGAATTGCCGCCCTCAACCGATTTATCTCGCGATCCACCGATAAATGTCTACCTTTTTATCATCAACTCCGAGGAAACAAAAAGTTTGAATGAGACGACAAGTGCGAGCTGGCGTTTCAGCAATTAAAGGAATACCTCTCAACTCCGCCAGTCCTGGCCAAGCTCGAAGACGGAGAAACTTTGTATCTGTACATCGCCGTGTCCACCTCGGGTGTCAAGAGTGGCTACGGCCATAAAGCTTGAATGTGGATTGCTATAACGTTTTTTTTTATATTAGTTATATAGTTTCACTCTTTTAATTTTAACATTTATATTGACTAAGTTCATCAGCTAAACAATTTCAGATGAAGCCATAGTTGTAGATTTAACATTCTTCAAGTTTTCGAAAAAGACCCTCTGGAGGTCCAAGAAGCTTAATTCTATAAACTAAAAGCGTTCATGGCCCAAACAAACAACAACAAAGATTTTTCCACTACTGGCTATTAGTACAAGTGTCCAATCAATAAACGCGCTCATTTTTTTCACCTTGTATTCTTTTCGTTTTTCTTTTCTCAGACCACAAAATGTTTGAATGTATCTATTAATCTATCAATTGCGCACTCTAAAACTTGAAAAGAGAAATATTGAAAGAAAGAAGGAAAAAGTAAATGAAAACAAAACTTTAAATTCGTAGAGCAAATGATATCATATAATTTCCTGGACTTGGCTAAGATTTGATTTCCTACATTATGATGTCATAAAAGTTTCCCCACCTGACTTTTCATTCTCTCTAATAATCAGAGGGTTTTGAGAGAAGGGGAGGTTGAGAGCGGCTTTACTCGGATGGATCTGGTGTAGAGGTTTGTGAGCGCAAAGAGTAAAAGCACAAAGACCACTTGAGCACTCACTATCCCAAAATGGCTTATACTATTCCCTATTTCCATCCAGCTTCCTGTGTTTCTCACCTGAAATTATTTATTTTCAATCAAAATTATTTTTAAAAAAAAATGCCAAGTGAAGCTTTGACATTAATACAACTCTTTATAAATCTCTATTCCTGCTTCAGCAAAGAATATTATGCACCAAAGAATGCAGCTCGATGCTAAAAAAGCAAATGCTTTGATGCTATGAATCTTTTGGGTCGTGTGTTACTTACCAGGAAGAAGAAATGTATCGTCATTATGTCTGAAAACAAGATCACAAGGAAGTAACATCCTAGTCTAGGCACTCTCACTAATTTCGTTATTGCACTGAACGCACATCTGCAATTTATGAGTAGTTAAAGGAAAAAAGAAAGAATGTTAAAAAGAAAACAGAGAGTATAGTTTTTATAGTGATGATTACTGAGTTTGGATAAGCATTTATACTCACATGACAAGCATGAACGGTATGAAGAGCTTGAATATAAGAAGAGCTGCCATCAGAAAGGGCTGTAGAGATGCAAAGGTTCACATAAGACTCACACATTGTAAAAAAAAAAAGAAAGGAGATGATGAGATTCTTCTTCTTTTTTCTTTTTTTTTTTAAAAAAAATTGTAGATGTTTCATATACTCACGCTGAAGACTGTGATGAACCGATATACAGATGATATCTCAAAACTCGCTATACTTGCAAAATTCCCAGTTCCGAAGAAAGCGACATTGAATAAAACCATCTACAGAATACAAGCCAAAACCAAATTAATATACCTGCTATTTTGCTCAAATGCAACATTAGCTCTTAACCTCGCATCCTCAGAGGACCGAGGAAAGAGAGAAGATGACTTACAAAAATCAAAGGAATCCGCACATCAGATAGCTGCAAGTATCTCTCGTCGCTTCCGATTGTGACATGTTCCTCTGTGTTTTGTTCTGATAGAGATGAATCTTTCGCTTTGCTAGAATAGCGACAAGCGTTCTCAAACAATATCCATGCCATAAGTACGACGGCAAGAGCACTGTAAAAGACAGCTTCATACCTGCAAACAAATCCTGAAAACATGAGAACACAACAATAATCCATATAACCAACACCAGTGAACTCTCATTCATAGCCACGTCTTGTAAAGAGGCATACCCAATAGACAGAAGAAGGAATGGAGGCGCAAAACCAAGAAATATTGAACTTAATCGTGAAAGGATGCCATTTCCTGAAAACAACGGAAGAACCATTGAAGAACCTGCAAAGACAGAAGACGGTCAGGAAAAACGGTAACTTAGACACAAAGAAACACATTATGCAAACAGAACAGAGGTCTGAGGATATACCGGCAACTAACCAGTTTATGAACTGGTGTGCCGAATGTAGTTCTTGATTCTGTGTTCGGTGCTTTGTCGACAGAAACACCATCACCGACGAAACTCCAACCAAAAGAATCTATTTCCATGTACACCATGAATAGGTGATCCATTATACTTAAAAACCAAAATCTTTAGTTTTAAAAGTAGAAATGGTTTTTACCTGTATGCAATAAAGCATGGAGCACATCGGCTTCCTGCTTTCATGAAAAGTGATACTCTGCCAAAATTTGTTCCCTTCTGCTTGTGTGTCTAGCCACTTCGCAGCGAGGCTTACTAGTATGATGATAGCTCCACTTATAACTCTGCAACCAACAGATAATGCCAACATTAAACAGTGACGATTTTACAAAGTAGAAATTGACGCTTGAGAACAAATATGCTTATAATGCAGTGTTCAACATAATTTTTTTTATTTTTTTATTATTATTCCAGTGAATGGTAGTGAAGCCTTCTTTTAGATGAGTTGAAATTTAACAGATCTTCTAAGTAATAAATTATGTTTCTGTATCATGTAAACCACAAAACACAGGAAAAATAATCGGAGGAAACCTCACACAAGGGGGAGAGAAGGGACTTACACTAGGTTATTATTATCAGGAATTTCAGCTGGCATCAGAGTGAAGACTGAGAGGAACCAACAAGAAATACAGACAAAAAATGGTATCCCAGATCTCCATGGAATTGAAACGTGCAGCAAAATTGAAGCCACAAAACCTGCTATCAAGAAAAACCAAGTGTAAAGCTTTCTCTCAGTGAAGCTATGAACCTGCAAGAGGTTGAAAGAAGAAACGATCAGGGGAATATAAGTCTCCGACTCAGAAAAAGATGACCATCTAATTACACATACCAATAATTCCACAACGACAACTGATACAGCTGCAGCGAATAGAAGTTTGATGAAGTAGCCAGCCTTCCTCTCCCTCAGATATCTCCACAACCCTCTTAATAACCGATGTTCGCTAAAAATCTGTGTCCATAAAAATACTGTCATTCCAATATATGCATGGTAAAGAGGGGGAGAGTGCTCCACCAGATTTAGCACAGAGAGAATTGCCATAAGTAGACACCCTGATAAATAGACCTGCGTCAGAATAACTAAATAACATGAGATAGGCGAAAATTTCACATAAAAGGTACAGATGCTTATCTATAACAAAGAAATCATGCTTAACCAAGTAAACAGGAGAACAACTAAAAAAGAAGGGTAACGATTGTCAAAGTGAAGATTGACTTATATATGCATTACTTTTCCAGAGTCTTTTTTCTGCACAGATAACTGTCCTTTTCTGGACAAATCTCCTGAGAGTGAACTATAACATTGCAGGACATGCAGGGCAAGTACGATCATCCATCCAGAGTATCCAAGGGTAATAACAGTCATCAGCATTAGCCAGTCATACGTTTGAAAATAATGAAGGCCCTCTAGTGACAAGTTTCTGAGGTCCACAGCCAATTTCATTGCAGCTTCATAACGTTTGGAAGAAATTAACTCATCAATCTGACTCAGCGATGAGGAATGGTCGACCAACGGCTTGAATGGCTTGAAAAACAAGGAATTTGACCTTTTTATATCTGATTTAGTCAAGGAGACCATATCCAAGACAGAAAAAAGGCATAAATAATGCTAAGAAACGAAATCCAAACACAGTAAAAGAAGTTGACTGAATTATGAATATAGGAAACGATATTTTTTCTACCAGTATAAGAATATTGTACCATAGCATGAACAATGTCAAAAGCTCGAAAGCAGAGAGCGGCATAAGAATGAGAAGTGATGCTACGATACAAAATTCCAGACTTCAGCGCAAAAGTTAAGCTAGGAATAGAAAGTAAGCAAAAGGATACGTGATTTACGAAGAAGCTGATTAAGGATCTGTTTGGTGTTGGCAAGCACAGCTTCGACTTCTTCTGCCTAAGAACGCATAGACATTAAAGCACTATAAGTCTCGACCTCCCAGCCATGTGCTATTTAAACTACTTATATTCCAATTCCTATTTCAAACCAGTTTTGAGTTTCGACCTCGCACCCATGAACACTCAATAAAGAGCTGGGGTTAAGAAAGAAATGTAGCTTTAACAAACACCACAAGCGAAGAGTTCATATCAAGTATAAGAACATACCTCATCCAACTTCATATAACCAAGTGGTAGGTTTCCCACCGAGTTCACTGGGCATGGCAAACCCAAGAGCGTTGACTAGAGAGGGTAACAAAAGGTGAGACCAAATATTTTTCAAACAAAAGTGTCACAGTGAAGTTGTTTGATTGAGAGGAGAGTCCAACCATAAATGGTGCTATGTCAGCTTGGTTGACATCTACTCTCTCAACACGATTAAGGCCCCACTCATAAGGTGTGGGCATATCATGTGCATGCTTGTCAACAAATCTAGTAACAGAATCAGAATGACTTTTTCCAGTTGCTGGTTTGGGATATTTAATCCCAGCTCCCCAAGCAACTAACGGAGTATCAGTATTTGTAGGATGCCCATCTCCATGACTTCCTATACGTAACATTACATAGCAACATTACCATCACTAGCTCAAAATGAAACAAAGAAATTCAAATGGAAGGTGCAGTGAAAACCTAACAGATAGCTACGATAAAATTAGGGATCATTCCATATATCACACGAAGTTTGAAAGGCAAATGCAAATAAATGGCCAACTTGAGAAAACAACTGTAGTTGAACTAACATATAAACCCCAAAACATGTCATCTTAATATCACAAACTATCCGATCAGTTAGTCCAAATAAATGATAAACAAGGATCTTACTCCATAGCAGTATACTCTACTAAAACCGGCTCCCAAATCGTAGTAGCCCAAACACCCATTAAACCCTAGAGGAGTGTTAAGTAATGAAAGATTCAACATAAAAGGAAAGACACACGCTATGCAAAAGCAGACCTTTGTCGCTCATCCCATGATCAGCAGTAAAGATGTAAGAAGTGCGATTGTCTCTGTAGTAATCCTCCAAGAGATGGTAGACCCTTTCAGCTATCTTATCAACAACTTTGACATTGTTGAGATAGATCGATGAGTATGGCCGATGTGCATGACCATTGGAATCGCAACCAAGAAGGTGAAGAAATACAACAAGTTTGTCCTGGTGGAGCAGCTCTTTCAACTTTGGATCTGCGTGAGACCTATTCAGAAGGCTCTCAAATTGATCAAAAGACCACTCGTCCAAAAAGGAGGCATCTACACCAAGAGACAAGCAATAAGAAGTTTGGCCGCACAATGGAACGGATTTCCAAATACTTGATACATAGTTGATATCGCCTACGAGGCTACATTTTCAAACTAGAAAACGAACCTGTTGCAAAGTCTTCATACTCGTGCGGATAAGAGTTCCAAGTGCTGTGAGGTAATGCACTGCAGAATATAGGGATAATATCCGGACTCCCATAAGCAAATGTATGCCTGCTCCGGTTAAAAACAGAATCAAATTCAACAGGATTAGCTTTCCATCCTGCAAAAAACACAGTACTTATTTTTACAGAAAAAAACTCTACAGAGACCAGAGCTGAAAAATCTAGATAAGCATTAAATACAGACTGGGGAAGAAGAAGAAGAGAACCTTTTGTGACAGCACTAGGATCTTCATAGAATCCAGCAATAATAGCAACATGCCCAGGTCTAGATTCTGTGGGAGGACGAGCATGAGACACTCCCCAACGCCCCTGATTCTTGATTACATTCCTCAAGAAGGGTGCTCTGTATTTGCCGTCCACGTCCGGCTCGAAGAACTTGTCAGCTCGTAGTCCATCCGCTGATAATAATGTCCACCAGAAATGTATCCATCATCAAATAACTCTACAAAAATCTACTAAAAAGCAGCGGCAGTGATGAGGAGAATACGTACAGATGAGAAGAACAAGTCGCTTCGCCGGCGGCTCAGAGAATCTCGGAGGCACAGGATCCATCCCGTGGACTATCGGCGTCTTGAAGTAAATGTCGAATATACTTAACATGTAAACGGCGTGGAGAGCTACGCCGAGAACCACGAGCCACGTTTCTCGCCTCTTCAGCCATCTTCGTCTACTCGCGACGGCGTCGGCTGTAGCTCGATTCTGATCCGAACCTCCTCCTACTCCCAAGATCCCGTCGCTCCTCATAGATCTTCCGACTTCACACACTCACAGTCTAAACCTTTTTTCCTGGATTTGCTTAAATCTCAACCTTCTTCAACTTTTTCACTGTTCGATCTCATTTATGAGTTGTAAGTTGTAACTAAAGCCCAAAGATTAGGAATTCAGATTTACATTATTATGGTTTTAAGGGATTAAACATTTGATGAGAAATGAATAACAAAAATTAACCAAAAAACCAATGAGTTTATTTGCTCTCAATTTTATTACAACCCCAAAAGAAGATATGAATACAATACAGAGAGAAATTACAGAGAAAGCAGAGAATAAATAACAACAATTTATAATAATATGAGATGAGTCTCTGAAATCCAGAAGAAACACCACCACACGAGAGAGAAACAGAGCAAAAACTCAAACGACCTTTTTCACCATCTTATAAACCCGGCGGATTGTTTTTACTCGATTATAAAGCTCATCAGTTCTTCACTGTGGTCACATTCTTGAGAAGCATTTCCACAACATCTTTGGAAATCCTCGATGCTTCGTTCTTCAACCGGAAGAAGGATACCGGTCAGCGGTTTTTTTAAGATCATCAAGCTGTGTGAGAACATATTCAAGCTTCTGCAAGCAGATCTCATTCGCTATTCTTGCGTTGTAATCGCATTTCTCAAAGGGACGGTACTCGCACACGCTTTTGATCTCTTCCCTGAGCGTCACTTGAATATCCTACAAGTTTCACAATAACTTGATGTTGTCATATGGATTAGAAATAACTTGTTAACATATCTTTTCACACTCCAAGATTAGCGAGTTCATGAATTAGACTACTCAATGCAGCTGAAAATCTTGAAACTTTATGACTAACTAGACCAAACCCCCCCCAAACAAAGCCTTTTTTACTTGTTCACGACATTTAATGATCCCTAATCTAGACTAGTGTCAAATGTTTTTTAAACAGTGAGGTTCATAAACACTTAATTCAGATGAAATCAGAAATATCAGCATCCACTACTCATAAACCTTGAGCCCAAGGCTGAAGGATAAATGTCAAATCCTAAGAAACAGAAAAGGAAGACAAATGTAGAGATTGTAAGATATGAAACCAAATCTTCCCAGTCAGAGATGCAACCAGGAATCAAAACTCTCTAAACAAAGCCCTTTACTTTAAATTAGGAAATGCAATGAACCCTAATATAGGTTTGAGTCAAATAAACCCATCTGTTCAACTTTGAAAACAAACAAAAAATGCCAAATCCCAAGATAAGGAAGACAAATGTAGTGAAAGAGAGATCGAGTTAGCAAGAACACTAGTCTAGACGTGTCAAATGAGCCCAATTGCTCTTTGCTCATCTAAATTATTAGAATCCAGAATATACCAGAAATCCCAAATGTAGTAGGGAAGAAGAGATCGAGTAAGCAACCTTCATCGATTGCATGAACTCTCGGCAATGACTGTTGATGAACTCTTTCTTAGGCCCAGAAGGGCTCGCCAGCTCGTCCATCACTCCTCCCGCTATATCCAAAACCCTAACCACTCTCTGCGCGAAAAGAAGAAGACGAAAAACGGATACAGATTTACACCCAACAACTCAATAATCGGAGATTTAATTGATAGGATTGATTCTTCCGATCATATCACCCTCTCGACATTCTGGAGTCGCTGTAACGAAGTGTTCTGCGTCTGCGGATCCATCACGATTTCCTTTAAGGGACGACGAGCAGGAAAAATATGATACTGGAATATATCAAAACAATGTCAACTTCACCGAATTAGACGGCAGGAGAAAGACTCAGCGACGGAGAAGACGACGGAGAGTCGGCACTCGGCACCACAAATCGGTGAAATATAGAGAACAAAGAAGAGCAAATAATTTTAGCACGTAAAAACGGCGGGCATGAAGTCTACTTTACAGATCCTAGAACAGCATGTACCTAAAATGTTCAATTACGGGAACACCCTTACGTTCAGATAAAATATTTGTGATAGCCGCTCTCTTTTATTATTATTAACGGATAAAAACCGAAAACAACTCCAAGAACAGAAGCAGCTGACACCTAAAGCTCTCCTCTGTAACTACAATGGCTCACTTCGTAGACCTAAACAGTCTCACCAACATTTTACCGTCGATACCGAAACTACCTCAGAGTCGGAAAACCGGAAAATCCAGCGGGTTTGTATGCAGGAAAAGCGGAGAATTTCAAGAACCGGATTCGGTACAGCTCACAAGACGGATGACATTGGGATTTGCTGTCTCTATAGGACTAACTGGCACTTTCGGCATAAATAATACTTCTTTGGCACAAGACAATGGGTTTTGGATCGATGGTCCTCTTCCAATTCCTCCTATCTACAACAGTAAGCAACATTCTATATCAAACTCTTAGATTCCTTAACTGAAGAGAAATGCTATACGTTTGTGTGGGTTCGTGATTGGTTTTCAATTAGTCTGCAAGTAGTTTCCAACAGTTAGAAACCGAGATGAGAATTCGGTTTGGTAGAGTACAATACCGGAAACTACTCATTCAGTTTCCTGCTCCGTTTGGGTGTACAGATATAACAAACGAGCAGACGGGAACGAGGTCGTTCTTGAAGAAAGGAGTGTATGTAGCAGATATCGGGACAAAAGGAAGAATGTATAGAGTTAAAAAGAATGCTTTTGATCTGTTAGCAATGGAGGATTTGATCGGACCAGATACTTTAAACTACGTTAAGAAGTACTTGAGGCTTAAATCCACCTTTTTGTTCTACGATTTCGACAACCTCATCTCTGTTGCTGCCTCTCAAGACAAGCAACCTCTCACTGATTTAGCCAACAGGTTGTTCGATAACTTTGAAAAGGTAACACTTTGTTTGGTTTTTTACCCGTATTCAAAACGGAACAGAGTACTGGATCTTTTAGAACATATCCTTTAATTTATTTTGGTTGTGTTTGATACAGCTTGAAGATGCAGCTAAGACAAAGAACTTAGCTGAGACAGAATCGTGTTATAAAGATACTAAGTTTCTTCTTCAAGAGGTTATGACCAGAATGGCGTGAACCCGGTTTGGTTTTCATTGGAGATCATATCATGGTTGTCAGCTCTATTGTCATTAAATGTAATACTGTATAAGCCAACAAAACAAATACTGAGATCTAGTAAAAAACAAATTGTAATATAGACCTACATATGATTCAAGTTTAAAACGAAGAATTGGATTTTGATGTGAAAATCAACTAAACCGACTAATTTTTTGCATAGATCTAACGGCTGAGATTATCTCACCATCTCGACATATACACACGCACAAAAGAAAGAAAGAAACCCATAGAGCGTCGAACATCTTTTTACTGGGTACTTGTGTCATGATCTCGTAACAGGACCTTCTCGAGCCGCACTAGCGACATTGGTGACACGGAGCACGGCCTGTGCACTAAGAGGTGAGAGATTCGACTGGCAGAAATTTTCCCAAGTGGCTGCCTCTGGATGCTCCTCCTCGGATTCGACAGGTTTAGATTTTGTGTAGACTGACTGAAGTTCCAGTAAGACGGTCCGTGCAGCCTCTCGGGACTCTGGGAGCTGGTCACTAAGCTGAGACGCGGCTGCTTGGACCAGTTTCTCAATTCCGTATTCTCTAATTCCTTCAATGCCCTGATGATAAATTATAGCCAAGGAAGGGCGATGTTGATGACAGAGAATGGATTCAAATGGTTTTATCATATCGGAAGGGACAGAAGAAAGAAAATGGGTTAAGTGAATTGTGAATTACCAGCCGAGGAACACTTCGGGAGAAGCACATGGATGCTTTTGCACGGATCCGGGGATTCTTATTCTTCAGACAAGGTTGAAGCTTTGGCAACAGCAAGGTAGGAGAAACATGTGTGGTCAAATGCTTTTTCGGCTGCCTCACAAACAAACCGCTTGTCTTGGGAAGATTTAAGGAGGAGTTGAGTAAGCTGGAAACAAAAAAAACGGAATTTGAAAATTGCTATTACTATAAGAAACACGCAGGTAATATATAGATGGATGCAAGTGAGGATTACCAAGAGATCCAATTGATCGATTATCTGGTCATTATATGAGCTGAAGATGTCTGCGGATGTCATACATGCGGTTTTACTTACAGCACTTCTTGGGTTCTTCAATGACTTCACGACGAGCGGGATCACTTTCTCCCTGTGAAAACTGACTTCGTGAGACTAGAAAATTCATTCTGTCCAAAAGTGTAAGTCAATCTACTAGGAGTGATAATAACATCTCATAGTTACAGAGAAAAGGACTTACACCATGTGTAGCGTTTCTTCCTTGTGGAATATTGAAAGACGACGAACACTATTAAGAGCATCACATACCGAAACCCAATCCTTAGAGTCTAGCCCAGTCAGAAGTGACTAAAAATATTAAACCAAGGTTAATCGTCATGAAAACATGTCATTTCCAGAATAGTTCCAAACTCCAAACAGAAGAATAAGATTGCATCACAGAATTGCAAATGAGAATTTACAGTAAAGGCGTAGTTTAACAGAGAGGGGTTTTGTGGTGGCCTATCTTCAGCAATTCCATTCATCTTTCCAAGACAAGGCTTTGTTAAACCTGGTTTACAGTCAATTTTCCTCTCAGATACTGGAAGATTCTTCAAACCTTGTAAAGCCTTAGCGGCCATACGATAGAGTTATCTGGCTGAGAAGCAAAAAGAGAATTCACCATTAGAAGCAAGAACAGCACTTGTGCTATATCAGTTACAGATGTAACTATAAAGAAAAGCATAATCTGATAAGAACAGATGAGGGATGAATTTTCGACCTCCTACTCCTGCTCTCAGATATTCCTCTGCAGTAGCCAAACTTCACCACAATTACAGTGGATCAATAATGCTATCACTTCACGAAATACCAACAAATAGAAAAACATTTTCCATATTTAAATTGGTTTAAATTTTTTACTTCTAAAATAAACATAATACAATGCCAAATTCAACAGCAAGAACATACAAGAGCAGAGATCTACAATTCAAAATCAAATTTCAAGCAATTACGAATTCAATTTTTTTCTTTTTTTTAAAAAAAAAAAAAAAAAGAAACGAAAACCTCGATCTCACTCAATAACTCAATCTAGAAAGCATTCCATAATCCCCCAAAAAAATAGTCATTGCAATTCCAAATCCAACACCGGTGATACAGTCGCCGTTAAATTCTGATCGAAATCCCGAAAGAAGAAAAACGAAAAGCTGGAGATAGAAATAGTACCGGCGAATCAAGCGGTGTTGGTGAGTAATTGACCTGAAGAGTAAGAGTGAAGATTAGTTGACTCGCCTCCCTTAACACTCTCTGTACCAATTTCCACTATATGCCACAGAGAGAATAACCGGACAACCGTTCGCAAGTGGTACTCGTATTAGAGGTTTAAGCACGACGTCGTTTTACGGCTCGGACGGCATTATATTTCTTTTTGGCGTTTCTCTGATACACTAGTGTTGGTTCATGTAATTACTCAAAATAAGGAATTTTCAAATTTTCTCATTTCTGTAATGATTTTATTCTTTATTCAGCATTTTTTCGACGGCCTATTATTTAGCAATTGTATATCAGTTAACAAATAGATTTACTCATTTAAAAAAAAATGGATGCCTGTATAAAGTTTTTTAGTTAGTCACAAAACGAAAGGGGAAACAAATCGCACATATCAAGTATCAACCCTCTTCTTATACAAACTTTTGCCCAACAACAAAAAAAAAAAAACCTCTTATACAAACACGCACATGATGAGGGGAAAATTGGAAAAATAAGATAAGGAAATGTTACAAGCTGTCAGCTACGATTTCCAGTTATGTACTATTTGTTTTATTGATCAACAACAAATTGGAAAAAGAATAACAAGGTAATGGCTTCATCAAATATAATAAAATCACAATATCATAGTGTTCTCGCCGAATACTGTAGTTTCTATGCATGTACATTGATATATAGTTGCTTTCTGTTGTTGTTACTAAACATACATTATTGTTGATATAGTTTACAAGAAAATAACATTGATAAGCGAACCCACGTTCCCAGGTAGACTAATTTGGACCGGTAGATGTAGTTGACCGTCTTTCATTTCCTGCTTTGATTTTGTTTGCGATTTAACTTCTATCACAATCGAATCGGTTAATTAGGCTGATTAGTCAATTTCTAGTTAATCATCAATATCAAACCGACACAATCTTGATTATGTTTTACTACATTTAGTCATTTAAGTGCTTAGCTCATGTAAATATCCGTTGTTTTACTTCAAGACTGCGTTAGTTTGTAGAAAAGAGTAATAGACGAAGAAGAAGACTGCTTTAGTATGAAAACAATAACAAAAATAAAGACTAATTAGTAATCAATTAACGTGTTGATTAGACCTTCCTCGTGATGCCAATGGTTTTACTTTATTACCTTTCTTCTGACACAGTAACATACATTCATTCAATATGTATAGTTCTCCTCATGTGATATATATTCCCAACAATAGCAAAAAGTAATAAATCACTTTCAGTAATGACTATTCATGCTTTGCTCTCATGCAATGACGTAAATTAGACTAGAATAATAAAAATTTTGCTTCACATCATTTTATAGTTTTTACCATATTTTTTTCTCATTTGTGCTTAAAAGTTTAGGTTACAATCACCGAACTATACAATATTTGAGTAGCATCTTCAAGAAAAGAATTGGTAATAAGAAAACAAAAGGAATTTTAAAAACGCACACAAAAAAAAAGCGAGGATAATTCACGTTTTTTTTTCTTTCTCTCTCCAAACAGAACTTCGGGAAAAGTGGAGAGAAAATTAATAAGAAAACCTCTTCTCACTTTCTCGCTATATTTTTCTTCTTCTTCGTCTTCAATGTAAGCAATGCTCGATTCCAATAACCTAATCGAATAATGGAACTCACTGATTCTACGAACGAGCAACTAGGAGAGACAAGGAGCGTCGGTCTCAAGGAAGATAATCGCTCCTTTCTCGGCATCGATCTCAACGAAATCCCTACCGGCGCTACTCTCGGCGGTGGTTGCACTGGTGCTCAGGGTGATGACGGAGAGTATGAACCTGTTGAAGTAGTTAGGTCAATTCACGATAATCCGGACCCAGCGCCTGGAGCGCCTGCGGAGGTTCCTGGGCCGGATCGGGATGCCGCGTGCGGCGCGTGTGGAAGGCCAGAGTCGATTGAACTCGTAGTAGTCTGCGACGCTTGTGAGCGAGGGTTTCATCTATGCTGTGTTAACGACGGAGTGGAGCCGGCTCCTTCCGCCGATTGGATGTGCAGCGACTGTGCTACCGGCGGGGAGAGGAGCAAACTGTGGCCGTTGGGGGTTAAGTCTAAGCTCATCCTGGATATGAACGCCTCGCCGCCGAGCGATGCGGAGGGATACGGAGGCGAGGAGACGTCAGATTCGAGGTACGTACCCGTGGTTCTGTTTCGACGATGCGTTAGGGACTTAGGGTTTATAGGATATTGAATTTTGGGTTAGTTCGAGAAGCAAGACTTGGGTAAGCTTTCTTTATGGAAAGCCAGACGGATTATGGGTATACTAGCTTTCGTTCATGAGAGTTCTTTAAGTAGACTTTGATTTTGAGTTTTGACTATTATGAGAATTATCTATGCATGACGAGGCTTTCTATGCATATGATAGCTTTTGATAAATTTTAAGACTCTACCTTGTGGGAGCATTCGTTTTTTTTTTGTCCCCTTTCATTTAGTTGTTTAGACTTTGTTTGTTAGGACTTTGCCTGGCTTTCTATATTCTTGAGAATGGTTATGTCGTAGTAAATACATAGCAGAATTGTTAAGCACTGATGGGTCATGTGTTTCCTTGTTTCTTCTTCTCCAGAAAGCATATGCTGGCCAGCAGTTCTTGCATGGGAAACTCTTATGACTATGCAATGACGCATTCAAGCTTTTTGAAACCTGGTAGAGGACATGCTAGTCCCGAAGCGTCAGGGATAATGGCTCGTAATACTAAAATGAGTGTGGATGGATTGGATTCACATACCCTAGGTTTTGGCTTCCCGTTCAGCCTGAGCAACAGTAATTCGCCCGTTAGATTTCCATCCTTAGATCCAAGTGAGCTGTTGCTGCAAAATCTCAGGCATTTCATATCGGAAAGGCATGGACTATTAGAAGATGGTTGGCGAGTCGAATTTAAACAACCTTTGAATGGCTATCATCTATGTGCTGTGTATTGTGCTCCGAATGGAAAGACATTTAGTTCCATACAAGATGTTGCTTGTTATCTGGGCTTGGCAATGAATGGTAAGTAGAACTGTATGGATGCTGAAATCAGGAATGAGAGTTCTCTTCTTCAAGAAAGATTGCAGCATATGCCCAAGAGAAGAAAGACATCAAGATGGCCAAACAATGGTTTCACTGAGCAAAAGGGTAGTTCAGTGAGTGCTCAGCTCAGGGGTATTCCATTCAATGGTCCGATGATGTCCCCTTTTGCCATCAAATCTGATACTCTTTTTCAGGCTGGTGAATCCCTTAGCTCTGGAAAAAATGAATGCGGTTGTGAGGAAGCTAATGTGAGTGTAATCTTTAAATCTCTCCTGGTTAATTTTTTTTTGTTTAAACTTTTTATTCCTCATTTTGTGTATTTTATTTTCAGAACGGACTTCCAATGCAGTTTGAAGATTTCTTTGTTCTGTCCTTTGGACGAATTGACATAAGACAGTGTTACCACAATGTCAACATGATATATCCAATAGGCTATAAGTCCTGCTGGCATGATAAGATCACGGGGTCGCTATTTACGTGTGAAGTATTGGATGGCAGTTCTGGGCCTGTTTTCAAGGTTACAAGGTCACCATGCTCGAAATCATTTATTCCAATTGGATCAACTGTATTTTCCTGCCCAAAAATCGATGAAATGGTGGAACAGAACCTTGACAAACGAGGTGATCGTAGAGACAGTACTCTAGAGCATGATGATGACACTGTTGAGATTCTTCTTTCAGATCCCTCCCCACCTCTTGGAGATGATATATTGTCTTGTTTACGAGAGAAAAATATCTCCAATACACTCAATTGTCTGCGCTCTGAAGTTGGTTCTTCTTAAGTAGACTTTGATAATACTTTATCCTATAATCAGAAGCATGGGGTTGAAGTTGGCGATATTGTTGTGGAAGAAGAGTCATTGTCTGTTGCATGGAAAAAGGTGTCTCAAAAGCTTGTTGATGGGTGTTCCAGTGTCCTGAAGCAGAAGGGCTCCATGAACTTCCTTTGCAAGCATGTTGACAGAGAAACAAGGGAAATTAACCGGGATATGATAAATGAGGAAGACAATGTAATTTTATCTTTGTCAAGATTTTGCTGTTCTTTGGCTCCTCGTATTGCTACATGTGGTGAAAAGGATAAAAGCAAGATTGAACCTCTAGTTGATGCTTTGTCAAGGTGGCTGGATCAAAGCAGATTTGGACTAGATGTAGATTTTGTACAGGAAATTATTGAACGTATGCCTGGTGCCGAATCATGTTCCAATTATAGACCTCTGAAGAGTAGAAGTTCTTCTTCTGTAACTGTAGCAGAAGGAGCGCTAGTTGTCAAACCAAAAGGTGGGGATAATGTCAAGGATGAAATATTCGGTGAGATTTCTCGGAAAGCCAAGAGGCGTAAACTAATTGGTGGTCATGGTGTCAGCAATCCACACCCTCCTCCCGGGAGGCCTATGTGTTTGAGGCTTCCTCCTGGGCTTGTTGGTGACTTCCTTCAGGTACGGACTTGTGTTTTCCTTATATGGTAATCTACAACGTATCCCTCTATTCAATAAGTCCTACTACACATGTGATAGTCATTTTTTTTTTTCGCGTGCCTAATTAGATATCTGAAGTGTTCTGGCGTTTCCGTGAAATATTGGGTTTGGAAGAGGCTTTCTCACCTGAGAAGCTTGAACAGGAGCTTATCAATCCAGTGTTCGATGGTTGGTTTCTTGATAAATCTGGGAAAGAAGTTAACAGAAGTGAGATGAACATTAGCGATAAGGATTATACAGCTACTAAAAATTTTTCTTTGTTCGATGAACCTCGCCAACCTTTTTCTTCGGAAAATACCTCTGCTTCTGTACTAAAAGGGACAAAATCAGGGGATTCTACTGAGTTTAACATCTCATATTCCTCTCGTGGGCTGTGCTTGGGTGCACTTCTAACAACGACTCACATTTCGCTTCTGCAAGTGCTAATATGTGAGCTGCAATCCAAGGTAGCTGCATTTGTTGATCCAAACTTTGATTCTGGAGAATCGAGATCCAGACGAGGACGGAAAAAGGATGACAGTACACTTTCTGCTAAAAGAAATAAGCTGCATATGCTTCCTGTTAACGAGTTCACTTGGCCTGAATTGGCCCGTACGTACATCTTGTCTCTTTTATCAATGGATGGGAACCTTGAATCAGCAGAGATTGCTGCCCGTGAAAGTGGTAAGGTATTTCGTTGTTTACAAGGTGATGGTGGTTTGCTTTGCGGTTCACTTACAGGTGTGGCTGGGATGGAAGCCGATTCAATGGTATGTTTTTGTTATTTTTCTTCTTTTTTGTTCTGGGTTCCATATTTTTCTTGTCTTACTAGATGATGGGTCACAAGTTTAGTTTCACTTTTGGAAGCGTCTTTCTTGTCCTTCCAATTTTTTTTATCATTTTCCTTCCACCAAATTAATCAGGTTGATATTTCTCAATTTGAAGCTATGTTCCGTTCGTAGGTCACTCTAGAGAAGTCGAGCTTCTTTATTCTTCTACATTTACATTTATATTTTGTTACTCTTAAATATTTACTCTTTTACTATACAGTGGAAAATCGATTTACTTTGTTTCTCAAATGAGTGATATCTTTGGGGCAAGAAATCTTTGATTTGTATAGATTAAAGTGTTACTATACTTAAGTTCCTAAACCACTCTCACAGAAAGAGAATGATTGTTGGATTCACGTGTAAGTATTAACTCTTTATCTTCAGTTACTTGCAGAGGCTACTAAAAAAATATTTGGGTCTTTGACAAGAGAAAATGGTGTTCTTTCTGTGGAAGATGATGATTCCGATGGCCTTGATGCCACTGAGATAAACACTTGCAATGGTGATGTTCCGGAGTGGACACAGGTTCTGGAACCTGTGAGAAAGCTTCCAACAAATGTTGGAACTAGAATCAGAAAGTGTGTCTATGATGCTTTAGAGAGAAATCCACCAGAGTGGGCAAAGAAGATATTGGAGCATTCCATCAGTAAAGAAGTATATAAAGGCAATGCTTCAGGACCGACAAAGGTTCAATCTTTCATACCAATTCTCTTCCCTCCTGAAGTACTTGCAATACTGAATTGCATAAACTAAGTATTTCTTGTTTTCTCAAATTCACTTCAGTTTTTCTGGCTCTTGTTCTTGCGGTGATGATGTATTCTCAGTCTGATACTGCATGCTATTATTTTAGGCTCATCTTTATCCTAAGACAAGTTTTTTCGCTCTTACTAAATACAGAAAGCTGTCCTCTCATTGCTAGCGGATGTTCGAGGTGGAGATTTGGTGCAGAGGTCTGTTAAAGGAACCAAAAAGAAGAAGTCTATTGGTGTATCTGATGAATGTCGTGCTGTGTTGCGTGATGTTGCAGCTGCAGATGAGGATAAAGTATTTTGCACTTTGCTGGGCCGAAAGTTGCTGAACTCCAGTGACAATGATGATGACGGACTCCTGGGATCACCTGCAATGGTTTCGCGTCCCTTAGACTTCAGAACGATTGATTTGAGGTTGGCTGAGTTCACATTGGCTGATTTGACTCATATGCCCGGTATGAGGTATATAATGAATGAAGCCGGTTTGAGCGGCATGATTACCTCTCGGGAGAATGTTAACCGGTGGTGGGATGAGATGACGGCCAGACCGGCTAGGAAAAAACTCATGGAAATGGCTGCTTATTAAATTAGTTTAGTATATCGTTTGTTGATTATGCTGCTGATGTGGTATTTGGATCAAATAAGCTTTAATTAATATTTTGAAAAATAAGTTTTAACATTTTCTGTCATTCCCATATAAAAAGTTAAATTTCATGTGTTTTCTTCGTGGGATAATGTTATTTTAAGAGAGGCTTGAGTAATTTGGAAGTTGTTGATGATCATAGACATTTATCAAGATTTAATGATTTCTTAACATATTTGAGAACTCATAGAAAAGAGAAACACAACCACTAGGACACTTCTCGAGGGATCTCTCTTTTTTTTTCTGATAAAGCTAATTTCGTAGAAAAATAAGAATTAAGTAAAACTTGTGTTAGCTAGCTCATAACCCTTAAGTGCTCGATTAGATCATAATTAAGTGGATGTGAATTTTCTAATCCACCCGGCCCTCCAAAAAGATGAAAGTTCTTGTGATCAATAATGGTCGTTGTTGAATTATTTTAAGTTTTAACAGCATGTCTACACATAAAATATATTTTCAATGGTAATAAATAACAAGAATGAGATATATATGTTAGTATATCTATACTATATATATATATAGTACATATAGACGCCCATTTTTCAAGGCGTATTTAAATCAATGAATAATTTAAAAATCAGAAAAAAATCGCAAGACATTTGTAATATTGTTGAGCCACTAGACTAACAAGAGTTAGTTTTGTCTTCGTGATCTTCTCAGCTCTTTGTAACCAAGAATCTTTGTCTTCTTCAATGAACAAGGTTCTCTCTTCCACATTGTGATTAGTAGGATTGATGTGAACTTTCAACGTGTGAGAAGGTACGACTTGGTGATATAGAATCTTCGTTGTTTGATATGTCGAGATGAGCATTTGGTTGCTAAACCTAATTTCTTCTTCAACCACCTCAAATCCCGATGAATCAAGGGTTTCATTTGTATTCACGTCTTCTTCATTGCCTTCTATTCGGTTTACGTTTTCCTCGTTATATATATCAAACGAGAATAAATCATAGATATCTATGTTGCTATTTGTACTGATTCCTGTAAATATAACCATTCAGATATCGTTATATAAGAAAAGTACCTAAACAATATTGAATGTCAAACAAAATTATATGTCATACTCACCCTGAAATCCATGATCTTGGTGAATATCATTCAGACCCGATATGATCTTCTGCTCTTCTATATAATCCTTTTCAATATTAATGCAAAAATAGATTACGTTAAAATATATATTTTTAAACCTTAATCTATATTAAATTTTGAGATATAAACTACCTGGTTCATATGATGATTTGGCATTAGTAAAGGTTCATCATAATTGCCTATGTGGATCACTTGATCATTAACGCTATTATAATGGTTGGAGTTACTTGCAGCGAAAGAAAAGTCCTCCAAAACGGAAGGATCGTTGTTTTGAGTCATACTCGTGAAGAAATCACAATCTCTGACTGTGGAATTCTCTACACGCAGCGGTGGTAGAGATATATTGTGTTGTAACATTGAGCATTCGATCTCGCTATTAACCTACATGAACATGTAATTATATGATATTTAAATCCATCGCTGGAAAAAAAAGTTGTTATACACTTAATTTGATCCTTTTTTATAGGTTGATGGATGTTTTTTAGTTATACCTTATATGGAGTTGGAAAAGGTCCATAAGAAGAACCGTGGTATTGTGACCAGCCTTCGTTACTGATTGCGTTTGAGTTGAAACGTCCATTTCCAAATCGCGGTTGGAATGCGTTTTGAAGTTGGTGATTAGCTGAACTGATCTCTACATCTGAACAAGCGTCAAAACTCGAATTTCCACTCACATTCGACATCGCGTGGACGTAAGACCGATGCTGATCTCTTGGCTTAGCTTCAATCACAATCTTTTTAAATACACGACAAAGTGCATACGCATCCTGAAATTATAAAAATTTAGGTTATATATATATATAAAAAAAATGTTTAGTCGAATCAATTAGCTAGCTGACGAACCTGCATGCCGTATGCAGAAGGCTCGCATTCAGTTTCATCGAGTCGATACTCATGCATGACCCAACCGGTTCTAATACCGTGTGGTGCTCGGCCACGGTAGTACACCAATGTCTTCTTGGTTCCAATGGCTCGGTCTCTCCAACTAACCCGGCGGTCTTTACCAGTCGCCTTCCAATATCCACCTTTGGTTGCCCTGTTTATCCTTGAACCGTTGGGATACTTCCGGTCCCGTGGGCTGAAGAAGTACCATTCTTGGTCTTTGCTCGGAAGCAATGACTTGCCTATCATTCAAGTTATTGTTGGTTATTTATAACTATCTGTAAAACTTCTAATAATAATTTACCAAAACATATAAGAATATCTCAATTAAATTCATGGCATGTTTACGATCAAACTTATCTAATTAAAAACTAATTCAAAAAACAAAGAATAAATATAATAATTTTCAATCTATCCCCGTTATAATACTCAAATTTACGATCTAATTTTTTAAAAAATTAACTTATAATGACAATGAATATATAATATAATTATGTAAAGATCAATGTGTATGTAGTATTTTTCCTGTCGAAATTAAAGTATATGTAGGGTTTCTTCATCGATGTTTATTCTTATTCTTTTCTTCAGCCTCTATTGCTTCTATTGTTATAGACAGAAAAAAAAAAAAAATTCTTAATTACAAAGGTTGTCAATCTAAATTCAAATAAGATTTGTAGAATTTTGAAGATTATGTAGTACAATCAAGTATTGTTTTTCTTTGTAAAGCAATCATCAAAAGAGGTTAATTATAATTATATATATATATATATCATTACTAATATCATAGTAATTAACTAATGACCTGGTAAGTCCCATGGCTCACACTTGTAGAGATCAACTTCTGCGATAACCTCAAGTTCGATTTCTAGACCGTTGGTTTTTCTTTTTAGATAGTAAGTAATTAGCTCTTCATCCGTTGGATGAAATCTGAAACCTGGAGGTAACGAAACAGGAGCCATATATCTTTCAATTTATCCTCGAATTTATTTTTTAGATCAATTTCAAGAGAGAGAGAGAGAGAGAGGATAGAAATGTTTATTTCAACATGTTTGTAGAGTTTATTTCAACAAGCTGGACAAAGTTTGTAGAGTTTTTGCTTTCTTTCTTTTGACTCTTCATTCATTCAGTACAAGCAGCTTTGATAATGGCTTCGAAATGCCGCTTCTCATGGATAATCCAGTGTCCAGCTTCAGGGAGCTCATGGAGCTTTATCCATGGCAGCTTATCACATATATAGAGTAGAACCTCGCGCAAAATTTGTTTGTCTGCGAGTGCACACCAAATATGAACTGATCCTTTGTTACTATCCGAAAAAGGATTGCTCAACTCGGTTGGATCAATTTCCCAATTTCCGTAACCCGCGATGATGTCTCTTTGTGTGCTCACATATTCACCTTGTCGTAAAGCAGACTCCTATAGTTGTATAAAGCTTTCATGAATTTATTTTCACAATAATATAGTAGATAGCGTAATCCATTTATATTCATAAAATCATATTAAACTGTTTAAATAAGTCTCTATATAAATATACCTGTTTTGCATGTATTTGAGAGAGTTCTATGTCGCGTTCCGCAGAGTTTTTTTGGGATCCCGACTATTTGGAAACCATTTCTGAGTCATCCACCAATATAACAACCATGGAAAGTAGTGTGCAACTCGAAGTGTCAATCGAAACTCAAATGGTAATTTCTGAATCGCTGCATTCAACAATTTTCGAGGCATTCGTCTCCACCAAAAATTCACTGATGGAACCACCAATGAAGCTCCACATAGTCTATAAAATGTAAATAGAAACAATCAAACGTCTAAATTTTTTTGTTTGTCAACCACATTCATTAATTATGGGAATTTTAAATCTGGATTAATGACAACACAACTACTAAGCTATAATCTTACCTATGAGGAATATATTTGAGGCAACCGTTAACAGGGTAAGCACCAAGTGACATCCCCAGAACGTGGAATTTTGGACCAATTTGCAATTTGTCAGCAAGTTCTTCGATATCGTCTGTATCTGTCTTCAGCGTTCGCGATGGATTTGGATCGCTTTCTCCATAACCAGCTCTATCGAAGAATAAAAAATATATCTTGAATTCGTCAATCATTTCCTGAAAAAGCCAGACGAGTATTATAATTGTACAGTTGCAATTGCAAATATTATTACAAAAACAATAATTAAATAATTCAAACGAATTACCCCAGTAGAAGTGTAGAACCATTAATTACGTTTACTGTAGTTGCACGTATTATAACAAAACGACAATCATCTCTATACTATTATTACATTTTTAAAAATAAACTTAAATGTGTAAGTTATTATTACATAAAATGCCATTACAAATAATTTAATATAATTAAAATAGGAAAATATATAATTTTCTTTTAAGATTATATAAATTTTTTGGAAATTATATATTTTCTATTAAAAGAGTTATTTACTATTTCTTTTTTTAATTATTATTTATATAATTAAAATAATCAATCCATATATATATTAAAAAAACATATCAATTTGAGATTTTATAATAATTTTATTATAATTTATTATATTTATTTGAATATATATATAAAAACAAAAACTGAAAAATATATTCTTAATTTATAAACAGTTAGACATGAGAAAATTAATTTTTATAATGACCACAAAAACTAAAACCATTAAACAAAAAGTTATGTATTCAAGATTATATATTTTCCGGGTTAGCCAGAACTATTTTTAAAAAAATTCAAAACAGATTAAGTAAACAGATTAATTTGGTTTTACATCTCTATACATAATTAGTCATTAAACATACTATAAAATCAACGTAAAACAGCTTTTCTTAAATTTCGAAATATTTTTACTTAAAAGATTATTCCACGCTAGTTATAAAGTGCAGGTTAAATCCTAGTTAAACAATATAAAGAAATAAAGAAGAATCACTTCAACAGAAACAAACATTAATTGAATCTCTATCTTTATACCTGTGTGGTGTACAAATCGACGTCTTTGGAATTTCCATATCCGTGGACGACTATTATTTTGTTTTCGGCTTTGTCTTTTGGAAACCCTTATTCTTTGTAGGCTAAATGTCTGCCATCGTTGAGCTTGACTCTTGGAGATTTCTTGGAA